AAGCACACCTGATTTTAATAAGGTAATAAATTGAAAGAATAACAAACAAATAAGTACAGCTGAAGTATTTTTAACATTAGTTATATGAAAAGTTCCCTTTAGAAAGGAATTACGACCTTAAAGGGCAATTTATGAAATAATGGATAATTTTGCGCAAGGTTTCTCGTCATGACGAACATTTTAAGTATATGGTTTATGGGGGTGTGACTTGTAGTTTTCTCAAAAGTTCATGGGTACTTTTTGCTTTATATATAGACTAGCTGTGTACCCGTTCTACGCACGGGGATCTTATAATATTCAGTTGAAACCTTCTTATATAAAGAACAGCAGTTGGTTTGCATATTTTAAGATATGCTGGCCAAACTATTATACATAGCTTCATTTTATGTTGTTTTTTGTTGTTCCGGATCGGTATGACAATCAATAAAAGGTTAAATTACCTCTGTGTCTGCCGGTCGATCCTATAACGGTAGGCTTACTTTTATTTTTACTATCTGATCTCGTTTGCATGGCTCAATCACGTCCTGGTTGAAGTTCGTTCGCTACGCTCACTCACCTGTATGTTGGAGCTCGTTCGCTGCGCTCACTTTCCTTCAGGTTAGCTCGTTCGCTACGCTCACTTGCCTTCAGGTTAGCTCGTTCGCTACGCTCACTCGCCTCCAGGTTGCAAATTAGCTGTTGTCATAAATGTAAAAGAAATAATAGTGCTAGTGCTGCACCCTGTTGGTAATCCTTGTAACTTTAATGCTATTGAACATCACAGAACAGAACCAACTTGTTTAATTGAAACAGCTGTTAAGATTCAATAATTTCATTTCTCATAAGGTTAACATGGGCTTCCAGAAATTCCACGTCAAAAATCGACAAAAACTTGATTTTCAAGGGTTTACTGTTAAATATCTAACTGTCTCATATTCGATGAAATACGTCTAAAACCATCTCATATATGTATAGTATTTGGAAAATAAGTTTCAGGCGGGACAGTGCTATAGTTATTGAGGAGTAGTTGTAATAAAGTGCGTATTTTAGCGTTACCAAGAGAATGACAGATAGACAGACAGACAGACAGACAGACAGACAGACAGAAATTGAGATAAGGTTTGATTCGGTTTCTCTGACCTATGAAATGTAAAAATAACCAAAAAGTTCATTATTCTAAGCAATGTACAGACAAAACTCTAATTTTATTTATATAGATGTGAACCGGTGTAGCAGGTCTCTAGAAAACACTGGGGAAAATCCCCTACCATATTTTGAGCAGATTTTATTGTTAGTGCAACTTCAGAGTATACTTTTTACAAATTACATTAACATTTTCAAAATCTGTTTAAAACTCAATGAGGCGTTCTGTTCACAAATTAACCCCTTCCAAATTAATTAAGTACATAGGCTAGATAACACTGATAATTATGAATTATGTTAATGTACGAATTATGGTAAAAATATGAAACTGACTTTAGTAAACAACTAACTAAACTTTTCCTTGACTGTGTTAAACAAACGTATTTGACTCAGGTATTCTTGGGAGGGATACCTGAAGTGGGGAAGTCTAAGCTATTTTACAAAAAATACTTCCCGCTATAAATACAGTTGTACTCTACGAATTAATAGTATGCAAATTACAGACGAATTCCTTAAATCAATAATCTGAGAATAGTGGATACTATACTTAGGATCATGTTCTCTTGCAAACTTTTAAGTTATACGTATTAATATTCTGCGAACTACAGGTAGATTTAAATGTGTAACTTTCAAAACAATGGGCGACCGTTCATGGAATAACTACTGTACTACTTCAATGTCAATTTAGTTATTTAATATCAGCAGTGTGAAATCATGAAATAAAGTGAATGTGACACTGTTGCTTGCTTCTCTGTCAACACAAACGTAAACAGTGTGAGCTTTTTCCTGTTTATTGCCGAAGAAACTAACCAATATTTACTTTCTAAATTCTTTTTACGGGAAAGAGTCCTTCACCAATATCAAATCAGGAATATTCTCAATGCATTTATTTTACCATAAAATCCAGACAACTATTTAAATGTATAAAAATTATATACAGCATTTATTGCTCAATGTTTACAATTTAAGAATTAGGAAATGTGAAAATATGTTTGTCAAGTGTGTATTATGATGTTGAGTGGTTGAAGCATGCTCATATTAATACGAGTTGATTCCTTACTTAATTATTTACTTATATTACTATAAACATTTTATTTCATTTCCACGTGTTTCAAATACATTTTATACGTTGACGGAAAAAATCTATATGTAATTTATACATCATTTGGTGTATAAAATTAAGGGGAAATGTCTAGAGAAAGCACAATATCAAAGTGTTAATTTGTATTTATCTTAATATCCACAACATTTGCGTAATAATACCAAATCCTTCCCATTCTTGCGAGTTCAGTCAAGCGGTGGTAATATGGGACAGTCTCTACCCTTGTGAACAATAGCTGGCTCGAGTCACGAGCCCAAGCCCTACAGCAGGTATACCGGGGGAGATCATGGCAGGGGGGGACCTTTCCGGGGTGTGCATTTTGAAAACGATCGGGGTTAACGTATCCGGTTAACATCAATTCTAATTAGAAAATCTGGTAATTGTATATGATAAGTGAATATAATTATCTAATTAATACGCAAACTCAAAAATAACTCGTCATATCGACGAGTGCATGCTGCAACTGAAATTGAGTGTCCGCGGCCGGAAACATCACCCCCCGGTCTCTGACGTCAATATGACGTAGGGGGGTGATGTTTCCGGGGGCGGCCTTTCCGCGTCCCCGTCTCATCACCATAAGTCTGGTCTGAGAGCGTTGCGTTACATGTGCTAAATGGCTGTTCCAGGTGAGCTTGTCGTCCAGCCTTATTGCTAGGTACTTGAACTCCTTCTTAACCTGGATCTGATTACCGAAGAGAGTTGGTACTCTAGCGATATCAACATTTCTCTTCCTTGTAAATGGTACCATTACGGTCTTCATTGGATTGACCCTCAAACTTTCCTGGTTACACCACCTTTCCACTCTGGACAATGTCCTCTGCATGAGTTCCAAGTGTTCATAAATTTTCCTCTTATTAGGACAACAATATCGTCAGCATATCCTTGAGCGTACATGCCCTGTGCATTGAGCTTCGACAGGAGATCGTCAACCACCAGGTTCCATAGATTTGGGGACAAGACCCCACCATAGATAAAACATACTCCCTTAGTAGATTTCTCATCCTTATGGAACAGCTGAAGATAATTTTATTGTTAGTTCTGTACGGTTTATGTGGAGGTTGTGTTTGGTTAGAATTTGTTTCCCTTTATTACAGTAATTTAAAACCTCGTTCAACCAAATAATACGATCTAATCATAAACAATAACTTGTCCCCTAGTTATATAGCCAAACAGTAAAGCACAAATCAAGAAATTAACCCTAAAATAATATAAACAAAATTTCATTGACACTAGCGCCCAGTGTCACCGTACATGAACAAGACACGAAAAACGGGCTTCAAAATTTTCAATGGGATGAGAAGTCTACTTATGTTGGTTAGTCTATGACGCCACTCTGTGGACACCCTCTTTGAGCCTTGACCTCTCTCAACATCCCACACAGAGAAGTTGGGCTCTCCTACTTTCGAGCATGTTGCCTACCCACCTCAAAACAGTGCTTTCCACATTTCTTGATACCAGCTTTTATACAATAGAGCGAGTACTAGTGTTGTCAAAAGCTCCTTCTATATCAATAAATGCGGCCATCGCTATTTCCTTGTTCGAGATAGCATTTTCAATCTTGCAAACCAGCGTATGCTTGGCTGTTTTGCATGACTTTCCCTTCTGATAGGCAATTTGGTTCAGGGGCAAAGGACGGCTTACAAGGACCCTATCCTTTATTTGTCTATCCATTAGGGTGTCTAGTAGTCAGAAAAAACGGGAAAGTCGGGATTTTTTTCAGTTGGCTGGCTGAATGATTGTACAGTGTTGTGTTTTTTATACGGTACGGTACTGTGCAGTGTTGGTCGGTCAGCGCGTTTGTTGCGCGGTTGCGTGTTGGACTTGGCGAACTGGCCTGCGAATTGGTGTATGTCACAAAAGGTTGCTTCTGCACAGAAAACTATACTTTTTTTACTGTACTCTGAGGGTTTTGTTCTCGTTACTTTATTTATTGTCGTTATGTCTATTGTTTATTACTAAATGTTATTTGTTATTATTTATTCGTTGTTATCTTGTCTCAGTCTCATTTAAATATTACAGTATGTAAATTGTGATGTGTGTACCAAGAAGACTAAAATACTGTACTTTCTAAAATGGACTTAAATTTTAATTCTGCATTGTAAGTGGGCTCTTTGCCTGTAATGTAGTATTGTCATCTAAATAAATAAATAAATAAATAAAATATTCAAGGAAGTTGTAAATAAAGTGTGTTGTATATACTCTAATGTGTTGTATATGCTAATATAGTATTAAGAAATAGTTTTGCATTTTGTAATTTAGAAGGCTTTATCTACAAACTCTCACTAGACATGTTTAATAAAATTCCCTGGTCCTTCAAATTTATATAAAAATTAAACATTTTTATTCATCTTACCCGTCCATCCAATAAATGTACATATGTTTGTGATACTCATTTGCATTAAAAAATGATGGTAGGCCTATATCAGGATTCAGGGGGTAAAATATAAAATAACATATACAAATTAAAAATCAACCCAAAGGTGATTTTTTTTTAAATTTAATAAAGACCTCTTAGGCTAGTAAGTAGGCTCCTGTTTCTTCAGATGAATGCCAACCTGTAAAATAACATTTCTTAATTGAGCCATGGCTCGGTCCCCCGGTACTGAAACCTTAAATGAGTTACGATACCTATAATTTTAAAGAAGCATATGTTGGTAATCATAGTAAGATAAAGATATCTTTGTTTTTCTTATCACATATTGTAGTTTTTATATTCAATACAGTATATTTAGGCCCATAGATTTAGGCCTACTAATGTGTTCTAATGGTATTGCAGAACTCCCCTGGTCAGCTGGTCATTCAGCAGCCACAGCAAGCTGCAATCATCCAGACACCAGATGGACAGACCTACATCTACCAGCCACCTGTAGAAAATACTGTTCAACAACACCAGCCAACGTGTGAGTATTTCTCACATAAAAACATTCTTGCATGAAGGATGTCCAGTAAAGAATAATATTTCTTGTAGTAGGCTACGTAAATTATAGTATTCTAGTTTAGGGTAAAAAAAGGTTGTCACCTTTATTGACCTTTTAAATTGTAATTTTTGGTTAAACAACCTTTTTGTCCATGTATTTTTCTTGGGGCTAGTAAATTAAACTTAAGTGTTAAGTTTGGTTGGGCTCTGAAAATTTAGGAAATTAATTTAGTTCCACTTTTACTTAAGCCTTTTTTAAAGAGACAGTGTTCACCTATCTTATCCTAGAAAATTAGTCAAAAGGCTTAAGGGGTACCATACACACCATGACAACACTGACATTTCATCCTAGTATAGGACTTCTCCAGAAAGTGTATTGATACAAAATCTTCTGATGATTGACTATTTTATTATCAATCTACTCTCTATGGAAAAACTGAACAATCCAACATTTTCTCGGGTAAACAACCTAACACAATCTTGAAAAAAAAAACAAAAACAGAAATAAACGGTATCAGCATTCTGACACATACTTTCTCCCATAAGCTTGTCAACAAGCTGAAGATGTTTAAGATGTGAAGATGTGTGAAGTTCTGAAAGTCTGATACTATAGTAGGTAGTGTACTACTAAAAACAAGGAGTTCTTGACGAAGCCAGGTAGTTTAAACCATTTAGTGATCCAGAGGCTAACACCATGACAACCTTTATGTTTGTTGTTGATAATGAGTACATACATTCAATGTCTACAAAAATAAATCCTCATTCCTTAGGTAGGTAGTGATTTGGACTGTAGTTTTTTTAAGGCCGTCGACACACGGGAAGACTGTTTTTCAACTGAAATCGGCAACTAGTTGGACAAACTTGTCGCCTGTGTCCCGGCCAATGTAGTTAGGTTGGACAGTGCACACGGTGCGACTGTGATGTGACCAGTTGAGGACCAGTCGGCCATCAGTCGTTAAGCAACCAGACCTGCCGGTTGGAAGGTGATTTCAGTTGCCTGGTTTGAACAACTTTTCGCATATATATTGCGCTTTTCAAGGATCAGGTATACCAACTGCGATAACTCTTCGTAAGTACTTTTTGACATCCTGTACATAGGCTGAAATTTTGCGTCTGTTTCTTGTAATGCAGCAGCAGCTACAAAGAGTCTACATTGAATATTTGTTTTAACATAAGAATGTACCCAATACCTTCTACGTCCAGGGCTTTCTTGATTGTTTATAAAACACCAGGGCTTCATCACTACTACTCATTTCAAACACCATACACAGTACATATCGTTATAACAAAATTAGAACTCATTCACTGTCTCAACTCAACTACAGTCGTGCCTGTGTACAGATTTAACCAACGCAACTTCAATTGTAATCGCGTCTCAAAACAGTTGGTTCAACTTTAGTTGGGTTTCAGTCTTCCCGTGTGTCGACCGCCTAATTCTAAGAAGTTGATAAAATACCTTATATTAGCTATTTCATAGTCAAAAACAAACCCATTTGTGGTTGGACTAGCAACTAAATTGTTAAACAAGTAACATAATGCCATCGTCAAAGGAAATACCAGTCCCTACTTGAAGAGTTGTTGTTCGCACCCACGTCAGTGTGGAACCAGTTAACAAGAGTCCAGTCCTTTGCAAGGGAGCTGCATGCTCACATAATATGTGATGTGTGTCCTCTGTTCAGTAATCAACGTGAATGGCAACATAATGCAGCTGAGTGCGCCACCTACTCAAGTGCAAGCTGCGCCAGTCGCCAGTCCGCCAGTCTCAGCTAACACTGTCAGTCACACGCAGCAGACTGCACAATCTGCTCAGAATCTGCTCATGGTGAGTTCACACACATTCATACTTACTGACTGTTTGTTGTCTTGATTTTACTCTGCACATATTTACCATTTATCTGCTAATGTTATCTATATCCTACGTAGTCAGCACCTATCATGTCATTGCATTTCTTTTTATCTGTCAATCCCACTATTTTTACTGTAAACATCTGGTCAGATTAGAAATGGTTAAGGTAGTTTTATACCATCTAAACACAGTCATGTTTATGTTAAATGATATGAAACTAAGTTAACACCACCGAACCTGACAAAATGTTTGCAATGCAATTAGTGAGACAAGATAATTGAAAACTACTGTCATTGCTCATAATCATGCGTAAATATGTTTGTTTTTCACTCAATTCTGTTTCAGAGTAAGCAGGAAAGTGAAACTGTAACAAATTTTCAATTGTAGGTTTTTATTTTGCTTGACTTTGAGAATATTTATGCCTAGTGTTGACTAAACATCTATTTGCTTTTGTAGTAACATTAAGGTTTATTTTCATTTCTCTAATCCTGCAGTGTTATAAATGTAAAACTTTAAAATCACGTTTTCATTTGGATTTTTGTTTCAAATTTTTACAAAATGCATGAGGTTGATTTGTAAACTAGTTTTCAACGTCTTTACAAAATTTGTTTTAAAACTGCTTGCAAAAAAGTGTTATTTACGTTGCAACTCTTCTAAATTTCCTGATGAGGTACAAAAACATTTTGAAGAACTCGATGTTGCAAATATTCATTAGATATTAAGACATGATTAGCACTTCGAGCTGACCGTAAATTTAACTAACAATCCCCCTTAATTTGTTTAAACACATTCAACAACATTCATTTTAAAACTGCATTCAAAATAACAAGAACTTTGTTCATCTGAATATATTGCATTATCAGACTTTCTTTTCTCTTTTCCGCAGAATTCAATGCTTCACCTGCATTTCTCATAGATATTACACATTTATTGATATGCTTGCATGTTTGTATTCCTTGTAATGAAAAAGCAGTTTTTTTAACACTAATTGGGAAATGGTTTTATTTCATATCCAACGAAGCAGAGGCCTGTACTTCTGCAACCATTGTAGGCATTCTTATCATGTGTCATCATTGAAATTTGTTTGCAGGGTCCAGAAAAACAAAAGGATTTATCTGGATTTATTTATCAAAACCAACCTATTATTCAAGATATCTTCAAAAACGACTTAGATTCAAAGGTATTAATTTATTAAAACCAACGAATGCCTCATGTGGCTAATGTTGAATGGTTTAGATACTTTAGATGGTAACTGACCATCTATAAAAACTAATAATATTGTGTCAAATTTTATTGAAAAACTTCCAGCTCATACACTGAACCTGTCTTCAACCTTAAATTTTGTCTCATCATTTTAATTTTACATAACCAAAACTACGTGCCTTGAATCGGAATTTCAAACTATGTTGCTACTCTTGTTGATTTTAAGGGGGGTTTTGTTTGGGGAATCATATTTGGTAAACACGTTTTTGTTGTTGTATATATTAAGTTGACTCAATATTCAGGCATAGTCAGTAATAATTGAGTTATCAGCCAATATCTGCACTGTACATGAATTTGATTTGTGTTATGTTAAAGAGTCTCTTTTTTTTCTAGTCGTTGGTGATTATTCTGATTCTGCCGTTCATACAGTGCTAGACAACACTAATCGGTTTATAATTACAAGATACGGCTGTTCATGAGACTTAATGAACTAATTGGATAAGGATTATTTGTACTCAACAAACGTTCCTTTTTGTAAAATAATGCCTGAACTTATTAATTTGACCTTTGGTATAACAGCACCCTGTTATAATTGTCTCTCGAGAGACTATTGAGTAATATTAAGTAACAGTATTAGGCTGTTTCATCACAAATTCAAGAATGGTACGGTTTGTACACCTACTGTGCATGGTACCTAAGAGTAATAATTGCAATTTGCTTGAAATCAATTGATTAATATTAACACTGTGAACCTTATCTAAAGATTTTGTTTTGCTTTCACAAGTCTGCTTCTTTTTTGCACGTTTGTAATATCATTCATTTTAGAAAGCATTTGTTGAAAATTACTGTTTTTTTTTTTATTCTGTGTAGAAATTCTTAGTAATATAGCAATCTAATATTTATCTTTTATTTTGCCATGAATCATTTTTATGTGACTTTTTGTGAAAGTGATGAAACTAATAACCCTTCAAAACAAACAAAATGTTTAATTATTTATAAATACGAGGGATCGTCCAGTGGTCGAAAATTGAACCAAAAATGTATAATGTAAATACTTCTCTATTTTAACCCCACACTGTAAATAAAACATGTGACTTCATTGGAATTTCTTCCATTTGTTTTGATTTTCTGTTTATATTTTGTTATTATTTCGTCACCAGCATAGCAGCCCATATGGCCCATGTTTTTTTTTTATTTTAAATTAATTTTTTGTGCTTATTTTTTAGCCTGTTTTAATTTATAAAGGGGATTCTGCACATCTACAGGAAAATATATTTCTAACAGTATGCGTAGATTTTTCCTGCAATGCACACAAGCTGAGAGAAAAGGTTTTTAAGAAACATGCTTGCCTATTAATATATAGACATAATATGAGGCATAAAAGGTGCTATAGCTTACAATTAGTCGTTCTATTAGTTTGACTTTGTTAAAACGACGATTAAAACAGCGTGTATTCAACAGAATCAGTAATTTTCATCAGCACACTATCTCTGTCTCAACTCAATTACATCCATTTTGATTTTTAAAATGGTGACGACTTCTACATGAGAATGGAATGGTTGGTTTTATCAATACTCAAATAAAGATATTTATAAAGTATTGTTTTTATTGGTTCATTAACTATCAACAATTTTATAGAAAATAATTTGTTTATATTTTCAAACAGCAACTCTGCCTCAGACAAGTTAAAAACAAAAATGAAACATTTATAGGTTATAATTATTTGTGGATTAAATATTTGTTTTTGTGAAACATTTATGGATTTGTGGACAGGTAGTAGAGTCACTTTTTTACAGATTATAAATAACAGCTGTTATTGTATAGAATAAGCTGACTAATGTGTTTCTCAGGTAGGGGGAGTGAGGGGGTCTCAGTTCGAGAGACTTCCGCTGCCCGACACTGGCTTTCTAGAGGAGGAACCTCTCTACGTCAACGCCAAGCAGTACAAGAGGATACTCAAGCGGCGTCAGGCTCGGGCCAAACTGGAGGCTGAGGGGAAAATACCCAAGAATCGACAGGTATAACGTCTCCCTTGAAATAAATATAGCCTATTGGTTGATCTCTTTAACGAACAAGGATTTAGTTCTTAACTAATGAACCCGTGTGTATATCGCTACATTTTTGTCGAATTTCCAAGGGTAGTAACTTTCCTTTGCTAATATACCTCAATTTGACATGTTCTAGAATTTAAATTGAAATTTTGTTTATAAAAAGAAAAACTTTTATCGTTCGAGCTGCACGGTTATAAATTTACTTTCAATCATATGATATGTTTGCATTTTATGAAATTAATGTACACTATGAAAAAATAAAGGAATTGAAATCTTCGTCAATCTTCCTCAATGACCAAACAGTGTCCTGTCATGTGAACCTATAATCTTCTAGATGTGCAGGTAAACTATACTATGTCCCTTAAAAAACTACTTTAAAAGCCAATCACCCTGAGTTAAAGTAATCAATTGTACCATTGTTGTATCACTTACAGTTTTTGTTCTGTTGTTCCTTTCCAGAAATACCTCCATGAATCAAGACACAAACATGCAATGAACAGGATACGAGGGGAAGGAGGCAGGTTTCACTCAGGTTCCGTGAAGAAGAAGAATGAACAGCAACAACACCAAAGCAACGCCAACAACATGTGAGTAAATTACCTGTAGTTTTCTAACCAACCCATTGTCAATTTGAAATCACCATCTGATTACACACAGTAATTCATATTTTTTGGCTCTCTAAGTGACTTACAAAAACAACTAACTTTCTTATTCATGATTATTTTGTCTTTAATTATTATCTTCAGAAAGATTGGAAGACAATTCACAATTCTATACCAGTCTATTTCCCTAGATTGTAAACAAGAGGTTCACACATTTTGACACAAAAAATTACCTCAAAACTTTCACATGTTGTTTATCAATATTTTTGTTTTCAGACAACCAAAAAACTACAAATACAAGCAATAAATATTGCAGATACAGATAAAACAATTTTTGACCCGACAAGTGCTGGGATCCGGCGTAATAATGTCAACCTAGTAGCAATGTCCTAAGACGGAACAGTTCCGTCTAGGAATGCCAGAGGGCATAGTATAAGTTTGCAAGACATGTCTCATCTCTTTTTTTACTACATATTTATATTATTTTTTTAGCACACAGCACATATCTGACCTTAGGATGACTGAATGCTCAGGCTATCCGCATAGTTTTTGCTTGCCATATGTTAGGACAAATTTCAATGAATTATAGGGTTCCTTTAGTTAGTTTATTTTGAATATTGTGTTCAGTTTTTCCTCACACTATGATAAATGCCCAAAATAACTGCCTCACTGTATTAATTACCTTAATTAATTAATTTAACGTTTCTGGCCATTATTTTTAGCTCCGACACATTTTAAGCTTCTCTGACTGTCAAACCTTATTTGTTTTTTAAATCACATTACAGTCCCAGCACATATTAAAGAGTTAAGCAACTTGTCTGTTTACAGGCACCAATTCCAAGGCAGGCTACAAGGCATCTCAATGGCAGCTTTGGACCATACAACTCTAGGGGCTCAGCTTATCATCGAGGTAAATACATTTCCTTAATTTCTTGCAAATCATATTTGTTTGTGATTTTTTCACCATAAATATTTATATTTTCAACTATGCATATTCGAGGAAGATAAAAGTCTATGAACCCTCAAGGGTAAAAACACACATATAGCAATTGAGAGCGGAGAGGGCGGGGCGATCCAGACGGAGCTGTAGCGCCGCGACTGAAAGCGCATACCACAACTAGCGAGAGTGACACAAACAGGAGCTCAATCAGTTTCAAGATGTCACATAGTAGGCTACAGCAAAAACACGTGGTTAAAAACATTCATTTTGCGTGCTTCAAACCAATTGGACTGTGCATGTAGTGAAGGAAGGAAGGGTGGTATGTACCTCCCTTCCTTCCTTCATGGTGAATATCACCATTTGTTTCCAGTTCTTAAGATTCATGCAATACATTGTGTATGTCTACCAAGTCCTTTGATTACATTATTTTAAAACTCGAAGTGGGTAGACTTCCGTATCTGTTGGCACAAACAACCGAATGAAAATATTAAAATATCAATCGATAAATCGATACACAATCGACCGATTGCCACTACCGACCGCCGTTGACCGTGTGCTGTTGGTTGCACCTATTGTGATTAATGGATTAGTTGTTCCATTGATTGAATTGAGTCTATCGATGGTTGTTGATGATACAATCGAATAATCAATATTTTCATTCGGTTGTTTGTGCCAACAGATATGGAAGTCTACCCCTTCAAGTAGACTTGGTAACAAAGTAGAACCAAAAACCTCCACAAGATAGTTGCCCGCACCCCTCCCAAAACACAAGATTGTTCTGAAGCTAATTGCTCTGCTCCCAACAACTGTTTGTGTGCGTGTTACTACTTGATTTTATGGGTTTGGTTTTGTCGCTCTAAATCGCGCCACCCCGTTCCGCTTCCAATCACTGTATGTGTGTTTTTACCCTAACAGTTTTCATTCATCCAAGCTGTGGAGTTACTCATACTAGTCATGATTTTCCAATGTAATTTTGCTAGTTATTTGTAGGGCTAAGTGTAGGACCATTTTATATTTTCATGTTCTCATTTGAATTTCATAGGTTGTTATCACCTTTCTTAAAGTCATATTATTTTTATTGTGTTTATCAGACATAATACATCCATTGTTTTCATATCTTCTCACTTTTCTAGTTTTTACTGCATAGTCTAATAAAATATACAATATTTCAACTTAAAATCCCTTTTAACTATTTAAACAAAAACTATTTTTAACCATTTTACAAAACTATGAAACAATGTTCAGAATAAATTTCTTTTCCAGAACCCTGATCAACAATATTGGAGCGTCTCGTAGAACTGATGAAAAAGTGAGCGTTTTTCATTTTTCACCCATCTTCATTCACTGACCTTTTATTGGGAAAAAGTATTTTTGTGATATTAAATACTAACTATTAATGGATGGATGTGCTGCTATTGTTAATATTAATCAGGTGGTTTGGAAATAAGCTTATTCATCTAGTTGTTGCATGATAAAGTTAGAGTAGTGTACAGTATTACTAAAGTTGTTCATTGCAAAAACCAGGTTAGAATATAATTAGTTTTGTATGTTATTACTAGGATTGAAAGTGACTATTTTTAGACAAACTCTTTTTAGCGAATTTCCCATATAGGGAATAAGCTATTACCGTAGGTCTCATGGTAAGACCTGGATCCGGGACCGATTAACTTTTTCGTTTTGAGGTCCCCAGAGGCCAAAAACACCATCCGTTCAAATATATATATATATATATATTAGGGGTGTGCGAGTACTCGAATCTTCGAGCTTTTTGGTCGAGCTTTTCATTATTCGGCTCGGCTCGAGGCATTTTGAAAAAGCTCGAAGTTCGAGTCGAGCTTTTAATACTAAGTCAAAACTAAAAAAACACTTAATTTGGGTCGTAATTGAAAACAATGTTATCACAATTCTACGTTGTTCATGCATTCGAGGTTTGATAAGCACGAACACGAACCTCAGCTCAGTCAAGACGCAATGATTATCGATCGTAATTTTGAGGAGATACAGTAGTAAAGAGACAATCTACCACCTATCCTATCGCGTTGTCTTTCTAACACAGCTATTCGTATCGTAATACACAACGCAGTGCGAGTGCGTGATTGGCTCGTCGCTATGACGACACATGGTTGGGTACAGTGCGCACTGAGCACTGCGCCTTGTGTGGGAGGGGAGATTATACCAACAAACTATTTCAGGAATTCTATTTTGGGACCGATGGAAGATAAGGAAGAAACTAAAAGTGGTCACGTGTGCAAATGTAGTGGGCGACACAATAAGGCTGTAAACGAGTATCGTCATGCCGTTGTTCCTTGTTTGTTTACTTTTTCAGATTCCTTATCAAACGCCCCTATCTGCTATCTCTCTTTCTCTCTCTCTCTAACAGTGTACTGATTAAACAGATTGTGGTTGACGACTTTTCTACTTATAAGATTCCCTGCGGTTATTTTAGTTCAATCAAACCCATAACCTTTCTAATGTTTATCAAAATAATTAATTTATCTGTTTTGTATTTTATTCCCTTTAAACCAACCCCTATTTACCATCTATATTTTATAGAATAAAATGTTTGTTTATAAAGTTTGACTGGTCACACAATTTTGTACCTATTTTATTTTGTTTAAAAGTAGGGGTGTGCGGATATCTGAAAAATCGGGTAACCGGGCCCAAATTCGATATCCGACACTATCCGTTATATATCCGGCTTTTCGGATAGACAACATATTTTGACGTTTTGGACAAAAAACTAAATCTCCATAGCCACCATTAGTTTCCCAGGACAAAATTACAGCAATACGTTTCCAACGACCTAACAGCAAACGGCAAAGAAGCCTTGTATGATGCAATACTGATAACTAGTTTACTCGTTATCGGCTGTTTTGCTTTACGATTAGATTCGTCTGGAACGAACAGACATAAAGCAGAAAAGAACTACCATGGTCAAATGAAAGTCAACTCGTGCTTGTAGCCCTCCTGATACTAGGGGCGCTGCGTAATAGTTTTTTTTTACAGTACTGTTTCAAATTCAAAGTAGAAAAATCTAGCCTACTACTGTGAAGTTACGTAAACAATAGATTTAATGTTTCCCAAAAAAAAGTCAGAATAGAAACAATAGAAAGGCAACACAATAGAAGGGTGGGAGGGGTTGGGCAATGACCTTGAAAGGAGCGCGGGTATAGTGAGTCAAGTAGGACCGAAGGGGGAAGGGGTGGGTAAGACCTTGAAGCTATATATAGACTTGCACTACTTCCCTAAACCTAAAGGACTGGCCGGCGAGTGGTATTCCAATCACAGGACAAGATACGTTGTGTTTTAGGTATTCATTGCCCGGGTTGACTTTGGATTGTCTTACTGTGTAGAAACTTTGAATAATAAAAAATAAAGTTAGAACTAACCACGATTATTTAGCATTGATTGTGTACATATTAAATGATTAAACTATAGGGACCATGGATATATACAAACTTTTGTCGTGATTTTAATTTCAACATCAAAATACAATATTGCACAATCGTGATATTTTAGGTCATCGACCTTTATTATGCATCCGGTATTGCTGTTTCGGAAGAGAAGCACGTTGATAAATTATAAATTGATATTCCCGTAGTTAAAAAGAATTATTTTATAAATCTATAAAACAAAATCATAAAATCTTACATACAGATAACAATAACGGAAATTGTAAAAAAGGTATAAAGATAACACGTTATTCTTTCTCTTTGTTCTTCTATTTCTTGGGTTTCCCTTCATCACGCATTCAACAAGTTGCCATGGTTACTAATCACCCATGTCGTTACCAGCTTTTGTGACATAACGCACAGCAGGGGGGTAAAACTTGACGAAAATCGGTTAATTTTTACCTATTATTTAATTACCAATGAATGTACTACTTTATTGGTATTTGGTACTGTATTAATAATCGGTCAAAATGGCCGATTTTTGTCAAATTTTACACCAAATTTATTGAAATTTCAAGGTGAATATTAATAAAACAATTATTACCAAATATTTGTATTAATTTAAAAGATTGATTTGTGGTATTGGGTTCCCCACTGAGTGCAGCCGAGCGAGCAGCACTAATGAGGGTCGGACCTTCTTGGGGGTGAACAATAGACGGCTTATCAGACCCTCCCCTCCCCCGTGGTCTGGAGAAAGCTTGTAAACAAACTATTGCACAAGCGACTTGACATTTGGCTGCTTCAACTATAATTTTGTCAAATGAACTGTGATGTTTCAAAATCAAAAACAATAATTTGGGACCATACTGCTTAACAATAATGGACTGCAATTATTGTTAAACATACAATCCATTTTTAACAAACTAAGATTATACGATTCAAATAGAATTATAAAAATTATCTTGGTATTATAATTGGGGTAATGAAGTTATGTAGGCTAGTGTAATTCTCAGTTCATCAAGGTTCTACTGAATAATGTTTGGCAGTGAATAAGTGTAGAATGCAATTTATAAATTCAGGGATACACACCTTTTACACAGTTATAAAGTCGTTAATTAATAGAAATAGTTAATTCTGGAAAATTAAAAATAGTGATCGCATTCATAAACCTGTTGTCAAAACAGCAACACGGGTGTAAGGGTTTATTGTTTTAGATGCAAGGGTGTTTCAAGGACAAAGTACAGTGTTGGGCCTCCCGGCTTAGGGGGGGAGGGGGGCGGTGAGACTGTGTGAAGGGGAGGAAACTGGTTTTGGCTATTTATTGATTAGTTCCCTGACCCTTCTAGATAACAAAATTGAGTGACAGTATTAAATCATCGTGTACTTTATTTCATTTCTTGTTTACTTTGTGTGTTATTCTATTAATTTTACTGTTTTGGTCTATTTCCTCTATGTCAATTATATCTTTTTTAATATATAAGTTTACTTTTTACTTGTCTCTCCACCTTTTTGGATCCAAACCAACCATGTTCTTTTTTTGATTAATACGATTCATAAAACAAAAATATTTTGTGCATGGAAAACAAAAAGAATAATCACGTGTTTTAAAATTTATTTTGTATTTATTTATACAAAATAGAATTAAATATTCATAGTAGTTACAATATACATTATGTAATCGAGTTGCTAGTTGTTTTGTCGTCATTCAATGTCACGATGCTGTTCTGTTCAAGAATCAAGAAGAATCAAGAATATTTATTTGCCATTAAATAACAGAACGTTACTGTTATGAAAGACAATCTGATTGTCTCAGTCTGCACTGCATATCTCGTCAGGCCTTCAATCGATATCCTTTTATTTCTTGCATCTTAATTTAGTTCAGTTCAGTTCTTATCGTGATTATCTACTATTTGATGTCTTGACAATTCTCAACGTTTTTAAACATATTAAAATAACATTGTGTTTATTTAAAAATTGACAGAACATTATTATTATTATGCACTTTTTTAAGAAAAAAAGTTTAATAACTTAGATAAGGTGACGCTAAGAAAAGCTCGGCTCGAAAAAGCTCGAGCTCGAAAATTTTTTAAAAAGCTCGGCTCGGCTCGGCTCGAGGTTGAAAATCACTATTCGCACACCCCTAATATATATACACACACAAAAAATAGAATAATAGGGCTATTATATATAAAGGAAAATTAAACATTGAAAAACAAGTAAGTCTTTTCTCTTGGTTAAATAGTTAGCATGTACAACAGAAATCAGTCATTTATATCAGCATTTACATCGTTGGCTTAGTTTTACTACAACTTTTATCCTTAAACAGGTTACAACTGAACATGGGAATGGAACGTCTAGTTCTATCTATGGATACTAAACATTCTTCAGACCTTCAATATTTACAGTTGTCCTTAAAAGTTTGTCAAGGAAGATAAATTATACTATCTAGAGTCAACTATACTATAGATGTGTTATTGTTTCAGAGCTACTACAGTTGTGTTATTGTTTCAGAGCGTAGGTGGTGTCGTACTCCCAGACCCCCACTACGAGCCTTGAGTAGATATTGTGATATTGTAAATACACTTCTTTTGTACATAAGCGTATTTATTTAAAAAAAAATCAAAGACTTTTTCACTGTACAAATATAAGTGTGGTTACTATGTTTACACTTTAGGATTTAAGGTTTCCCGTTTTGCAATTTAGTTTAGTCGAGTGATTAAACATACCAGTTTGGAAAGATGTTACATTTTGTATTCCTCTAAAATTTCAAGATTTTTTTATTTATTCCTTGTTAAAATGTTAGTAGAATATGTAATTGGTTTTATTTCAATACAACCTTGTTTATCTGGCCTTTATACTCTGGGATCTTTTATTGTCTCTAAATATTACAATAACATTAATAAACTTAATAGGTGTGCAGTAGACTCACGATTTTCAAAATTAATTAAGACCGTCCCGGATTAGGTTGTCCCAACCTATGATTTGGGAAAACTCAGATAATACAGAGGTTATTATGGGCTATCGTGCTAAAATAATTTTGAAAACTGAAATATTATAAAGGTATTTATTTTAAGAAGAAGTGTTAATAAAATGTATCACACACAAACAATATTAATTCATTTAAAATTTGCAAAGTAGAGGCACTCCCTCACTCACACTCATATTTTGAAAGTCATTGCTTTCAAGTCCCATTTTCTGTAGTAATGATTTTTTTCCATTACAACTTAATTATAATATGTTTTCTACAATTTTTTAGATAATTTTAAAACCTTTTTCTTTTGAACATTCTAAGATATTATTTGAATGTAAAAAGGTGATGGCATAGAGGGCTTGCTATTAATTGAAAAAAAATAATTTAGCCTACACTACTATTTACCGAGCATCTGTATTTTAGTGTATTCCAACAATGTTGGTTCAGATGAACAATGTTGTATTGTATACCATGCCTACTTATGAAGCGATTTGTTTTTAGTCTAGAAAGTTTGTACCAATTTTGTACATAATTGTCAGTCATTTTAATTTTAATTTTGTGCAAAGAATTTTAAAGGTAAATTAATAATTGAATTTTAACGTGTCATAATTGAATGGCTTTTCACAAATTTTATCTGGTTTGCCAGATGAGAATTTTAAAAATTATGAGTTTCTTTAGACTAAACAATAAGTGAACAGTGAATTTAATATTTATAGTATTCCTGGCATGGTTTTGATGCATACAAATTTAAATAGTGTGATAGATAGAATATTGTCTAAATTTCTATGCTTGTGGGGTTTTTGTATCCATTATGTCTGAAAGGTTTTGCTAGTGGAGTACAAATAAAAATGAAAATGTTACCATTTTGTAGTGGTAATTTTAATATTTAAGTATTGTTTAAGCATTAGTTACACAAAGTGATAAACATTTTCTGTAATTTTTTGTTAGATGTGTTTTCGTTTTAAAAGTTGATGACTGTTGTATTCAATGCAACCTTCAAAACAGTGGCATAACTAGAACATGGCTTTGGAGGGGGATGGATGAGCTCCAAGTCTGCACTCACTCATCCTGGGCCACGGGGGGTCTGGAAAGAGGGGATTACCCCCATGGAAGATTTTGAACAAATAGAATTCCAAACTTGCGTTTTCAGGCATTTCAGAGGTGTGAGTAACTAACCCCTAAAAGCCGTCAGGCATCTTCTTAGTGCTTACATACAGCACATGCTTGCAGTGTTACCACTGCCACTCTCCAAATTTACTCCCGCTGCCTGGGTTTATTAATTAAATAAACCTTTTTAAAATTAGTTTACTATACAAATCAACTAATAATTTTAACAAATTAGATTAATAAAGCCAAATCAAAACTAATTTTTCTCAGTTCAAACTTGAGCAACTGTTATTTAAAGAAGTAGGATTGCTGTGATACAAATATTTATTTTACATTTGTTAGTTCTGGGGGGGTTCTATCCCCCTCATCTCCCCATAGTTACGCCACTGATTCAAAATTATTTTTATTTTTATTAGTACCAATTTTTAAATGATTATCATTTTGGATAAGGCTAGGATTATACTAGGATGCTGGCGTCCGAGAGGCCGGCGTCCGGGACGCTAGCGGGGCATTAAATCAAATGGGGGCGATTATACTATGGATGCTAGCGTCGGATGCTAAAAAAGCCACCGAAAGCTCGAAGTTATTACCGTAGGTGGCATGGTAAGACCTAGGCCCGGGACCGATTTATTTTTTCATTTTGATGTCCCCAGAGGCCAAAAACACCATCCGTTCGTATAGATTTAAATATTATATGTCTGTAAACGCGATAACTGGAGTAATTTTTGTTCTATTTTGAAGAAATTTGGTTTTAAGGTGAAGGGTGGGATAAATTTGAATGAGTTCGCGAACCAGCTCGAACATACCTTGGAAACGGGGTTTTTTGTGCTAAAAAAGGGGGTTTGTCATTTTTGACCCAGAAAACTAAAAAATTCACAATTTCTCTCTAGACAATTTTAATGAGCTTAAAAACAAATAATTTAGTATATTTAAGTGTTTTTGTACTGTTATTAGTTATGGAGAAAATTAAAAAAAGAGTATATTAAAAATTGCCATGTTATTCTTATAGAAAATGTTGTTAAGTGTTGGAATTTGCTTGTGTATGGATGTATTTTTATTCAACTTGGCCAATTTGTTATATACTAAGCTAATAATACAATATTTTACTAAAAAAACAACACTTTATTAGCCCCCTTAAAGCATCAAACCTTGGTACTCATTAAACCTAATGTTATTTAAATAGATATAAACAAAAAGTTACTAAACATTGAAATGAAATGGCATTCCGAGAGGCTAGCATCCCAACAAAAATCACGTCATTTATCGAGGTGGGACGCTAGCCTCTCGGATGCCAGCATCCCGGATGCCAGCATCCCGGATGCCAGCATCCTAGTATAATCCTAGCCTAAATTTACAGTAAAATTATAGCATTCAGATTATGTTTATAAATGTGTCTCACTTTGTGTAAAATCTTGCAATGCAGTAATTTAATTTTTTCTGTTGTGCAGATAAGGTTATAAAAACTATAATATTTATTTATATTTTGTGTAAATAAGATATATAATGTTTAATTTCCTTTTTTGATCTAAAATATTATACAAAGTGTAAAATAATAATTAGAATGTTTGTGGTTAGATACCACTCATCACCAAACACTTGTATTTTTTTAATTTAGCAAGTATTTGAGCAAATACTGTAAAAAAAAACTTTAAATCCATGGAATTTGTTGTAGTAATTTATTTTTCAGATTTAAAAAAATCCCAATTTGTATTACTACATTTATTTACAAATATCGAGGTTCAAAGGTTACACTTATAAACTGGACAGATTCATAACTAGGCTAAAATATTTATTGTTGATGTTAGCATATGTTTTTTAGAATATTAAGTAGTTTTGCTGAGGTTAATTTTGTGTTTGTTAACATATGCTTTAATTGGTTGTACTTATTATTGCCCTTCTACGTATAAGATATGATAGGTAACCTTTGTTTGTTCAAGTTGCACCTAGATTGGAGTTAATTTATTATATTAGTTGCTAGTTTAATGTAAGCTATTACATTTGGGTTTTGCTTTCATTCTCACTTTGCTAATACAACTATTTCACTTCATTCAACTGTTTATTTTTAATTTGTTCATACACAGAATCAATAAAGTGTTTTCACCGAGGAGGATAAAATTACATGGACCATCCCTTAAGTGTGTCTCTCTAGTCATCAATGGAGTAAGACCGCTTTGCCTCATTAAAAATTGAATATGGTTTAAATACAAATGGTTCTTCTTAAAAGAAATTCAGTTCGACTAACAAAATAATATCAAATAACCACAACGAGAAAAGAATTAGTGGATTATTTACATCATTGCAGTTTGGTAAATGGTAAAAAAGGATTAGTTTTATTTATTGTGCTACCTATATAAATTTGAGAAATCTCCAAAACTTTGATATCTGACTCCATTGTAGGTGGTATTCATAAAATATTGAACCAAAATAATGATTATTTTTATTCATGTTATGACAATCTTTCATAAAGTTAACTAATGTATTCAAAGAGGATTTAAACTTAATGTAACCTTCCAAATCTACCATGATAAAACAGCAATTAATAAATAGTAGGTATATATAACAAGTGTATATTAACCCTTTGCGGTCGAATGGGGAGTATAGGTTGCCACGCGCCATTTTCCTGACTGCTTAGATGGCAACCTATACTCGCTGAAAAAAGAAAAAAAATTCTACCTCAAAGAGTTAAACCAAATCCAAACTGTTTCAGTCCAATAGTAAATTTAGCTAACATTGAATTGATTTTTATAAATTGATTATTTTAAACTGTGGAGTCATACATCAAATTTCTGCTGTGAAATGTCATGTTTTTTTTATGTATAAAAATTAACATTTTAAGTAATTAATGTTGTCAGCTATTTACTCAACCACCTTTAAAAAAAACAGGCCGTAATGCTCGTCAAGCATGACGTCACGATAGAAGACGGCAATGACGTAGGTATTTTTTATTTATTTTCCAAGGAAAGATTAAAGCAAGCAGCTGATCACAAACGGCAAACAATACGTCACTGCCGTCTTCTATTGTGACGTCATGCTTGACGAGCATTACGGCCTGTTTTTTTAGTGGGGCCTTGGCTGTACCCTGTTTTAATTTTTAGACAAAAACAAAAAAGTTTAGTTTTAATTAATAGGATTGTTAGTTTTAAATTATAACTAATTTAATGTTAATTTTTCATTGTTATAAACTTTGTAACATCCTATCACATACATTTGAATTAATACTGATTGTAGCCTTGGATGTGTAATAAATTATCACTACTTAACAACTGTTAAAATAAATTATTTAATATTCTAAGCACAAAATAAACACTGACATGATATTACACCTACATTAGTGAGCTCATCCTTCATCACGTACTTAAACATTAAATTTAAATTGCTATAGTGATTAGTAGGCGTGCCTTACTCGCTTGTCATGTCTACTGTATGTATTCTAATAGAAACAGCTGGGTTTGGTCAAAACAATCTTAATTACATTCTTTTATTGGAACACTAGCCTAAACATAACAAGTATTGTAACATTTTTTGTATGCTTTAGAATCCCAAATTAAACTTTTTTAACTGTTGGTAAAAAGTGTTTTATTTAGTTTTCCTGATTGATGAATACACAAAGAGATTTTGATTGACTCAATGTAAAACCAGTGAGTTAATTCGGCTGGATGAAGCAGCAGGGTGATTATCAATCACTTAATTCTCATCCCTCTTTTGGCGAATTTCCCATATAGGGAATAAGCTATTACCGTTGGTCTTATGGTGACTTGTGCTAGGGACTGATTTACTTTTTCGTTTTAGGGTCCCCAGAGGCCAAAAACACCATTCGTTCAAATTTATAGGTATATTACACAATAGATGTTGCCTGTCAGCTTTGCCCGACATACTTTTGGATTTTTACTATATACTGTTAATCCGCAGAAATTGTGACCTCGCCAAGGAACTACTTACTCCAAACACGCCAGTTATACAGGAACACCTGACCTATGATCATTCTCCTCAGGTCTAGACTCTGCAGCCCAAACAGTTGTAACAAATCATGGTATGGAACTTCATACAGATAACTATTGAAACATTTTAAAAATAAGAATCTTAAAAACTTCTTCTGGACTTTCTCCAAAGAATCTTTAAATGATATGGATTCCAAATTATGAAACAGGCTTCTAATCTTGATCTGACCAACAAAGGATAATTCAAGTTTCAATGTTTCTCAAATTTGTACTTGTCTAACTATAAACCCTATCATTTTATTTGCAGCAGCAATGCATGTTTCAGTATGAATATTAAAAGACAGTGCACAATTCATGTGAACACCTAAGTCTTTAATTTGTTTACTCTACTACAGTAAACCTTTAGTAGTTCGACACGGTCCCTCCACCGCCCACTCCACAATAGGCTCTGTAGTGTAACTCTCGTACACAGAACTAAAATATTCGGTGAATGCATTTACAACCGCTCCTCCGTTATCCAGTCTTACTCCATTGTCCTCCATTATCATAATTTTATTTTGTTCCGATTTTTTACTTTGAATAAAATCCCAAAACTTACTGCTATCAATATTTACAGTGCCGGATTTACCACTAGGGGCAAACAAAAGGGGGCAGATGATTAACAAAAATATTTTTTGTGTAAAAAAAAAATTATTTTTTTGACCATCAGTTTGCTGCGACCCCATGACTGCAGCCCGTGGATGATGTTCACGATTTTGCTGTAGCCACAGGTCTCAATAATGATGTTCCCGTGATTGCGGTCCGTGGGTGTTAAGGCCCAATCAATTTTCGATCAATATTCGACCCCAATACTCTTTTATAATATACTGTACAAAGAATAAATAGAAACATGTTTTCAAGAACAACTTATGAAAAACAGCGGGAGATGTTCACGATTTTGCCGCAGCGGCGGTTGTTGATAATGATGTCCCCGTGATTGTGTCCCGTGGTAAATGTTCATGATTTTACAATGGCCGTGGTTTTCGATAATATCCCCGTGATTGCGGCCCACAGGAGATGTTCATGATTTTGCCGCAGTTAAGGGTGTCGGTGACGATATTCCCTTGATTTAAGGTAAGTAATCGGGATTTCTCCGCAATCGTGAGTGACGATAATAATGTCCTGCAATTGCGGTCTGTGGGAGACATCCCAGATTTGGCTGTAGTTGCGAGTGTCAATGATTATGTCCCCGTACAAAGGGATGTTTATGATTTCATCGTGGTCACAGTTGTCGATGATGATGCCCAGTGATTACGGCTGTATTGTATTGTATGATGTCCCTGTGATTGTGGCTCGCGGCAGATGTTTACGATTTTGCCGCAGTCGTGGGTGTCAATAACGATAATATCGTCTCCATTGTTTAAGGGTAAGTGTTCAAGATTATTCCCCGATTGTGGGTGACAATGATGATTTACTTGTGATTGTGGCCTACGGGAGATGTTCACAATTTTATCCCCGATCGCTGGTGACGATGATGATGATGATGACGACTGTGGGAGATTCTTTCTTATGATTTCACCCCTATTAGAGGGAATTCCACCACAGGGTTGGGGGCCGCTCAATTAATTTGGCCTAGGGCCGCAAGTACCTTAAATTGGCGCCCCTAGGACCTTAGTGCCTCCTTGCACTGCTGGGGGTATTATTTATACGCTACTGCACAAATCATACAAAAGAAAATTATTCAAACCCTTTGAATTAACGAACCTTAGATTTTACTACAACCTGCAATAATGTTTCAAAAAGTTAAGAGCCCATCAAAAAATCAAGTGTAAAATTTGTATTGTACATTGTTATGACTTTAAATTCAGCCACTGATTTTCCTGGAAAAAGTCCTGTTAATAAACGTATTGTTAAACAATTTTTTTGTGGATACAAAGTAATAGTAAAATAGCAAAATAAGCAATAACAAATCAGCAAAAAATAATTCATGTCAGATTTTGGGTGCAACTTAACCCATCGTGTTGACTGCCAGCTTGAACTCCTTGTGACCTGACCAAAACTGGGTTTGAACTCTAAAACTACAGATCTTTCACCTCACTTGACCACTCATAACTGTCTTTTGCTCTAACAACACTGGTCTTCAGCTGCCAGGTATAACTTTTAGCCATACAGTATTTATTTAGTTAGGCTCTTGGCTCACACGGAGCATAAATAATATAAAGTGGAAGTTTGGTTTGTTTACTCTTGAGAAATATATGATGAGTTAAGAGCTTTAGAACTCAAAGGAAAATATTATTACAGATCATAGCCATAGCTAAACTGATCAACACAACAAATCTAACTATAGGATGATGCTTTACAAAGATAAAAAAAGTGTATAATCCAACTGTTACAAGGATGGTAACCAGGTTATAGTAAAGAAGTAGACCTTTTATAAATTGCAACGATAAACTTTATTAACTACAAAAAAACTCAAAATAGACATCTGTCAACAAAAACTTAAATTTCTTTAACCTTAGTCATCTTAACCTAAGAACTTTGGATAGACACGAGTACATATTGTAAAAGGTATCATGGATCGTTTTACTTATATTCTTTTAAACCTAAGTTTGTAATGAGATTGTACCAAATTGCAGCCAAAATATCAACCAATCATTATTGCATTGTTTATCTGGAGACTTTTATGAAAGGAAATGTTTATATTGAGCCTGTAATACATTAAACTCCTAGACATGAATAAACCAGCCTTATTAGGCAGTTTTGTTAACAAATTACGTTTTGAAATATTATGAGAATATAGTACGCAGATTCTAATTACTTAGTATTATAAAAGATAGATACAGTACAGTTGTGTATATACGTACGCAAACTTATTTTCTTAAGACTCACAGGTGATGAAATATTAGTGGTAACCAGATAGTGATAAAATACTGCAGTCAATATACTGTACAATTACTTGAGGACAAGATTATCAAAGGAACTATCAGTTTCAAAGCAACAAAAACGTCTAAACATAAAATTTACATTCAGTTCTTTCAATAACTTATTATAAAGATATATACTTTTGATTTAACAATAATAACACTTACTATCTTACTAATAAAATTACGGTTGAACTAGAGATCAATACTTTTAATAAGTTGTTCCCCACTTGATATGGAACCCCTCTTTAAGGATAAAGATAACTTACTTTTACTGATAAATTTAATCAGAATCTACAGAATTAGGGTACATATTTAAAATTAGGGTCTGAAAAGTGTAGTTCTCTTTTGATTGATAAGTGTTTACTAATGTTATTATCATATATTGGACTCTGAGTTGACTCTACTTGACTAAGTACAATCGCCTCTGTATGACACAAATATGTACAGCTTGTAAACAAACATGCTAATAGAGTGTAGATGTTATTGTAAAATATGGTGGGCTACTGTAGTTTACTAATACATATCTGTTCATTTAGTATGTAGTTTTTTGACGGGTTTTAAGTGAACATTAGTCCAATACCAGGGAGTCCGCTTCAGAAAAAGTGTGATGTATTTTAGTTTTCCTATTTTAAGTGATATTTTTATTTATTGTGATGATTTTTGTTTTATCATTAAGTAAGTTGTTATTTCAAATCAATCTGAGATTCAAGTTCAATGGCAAGTTCCTAAGTATATTATTGAATTTATTTGTTTTGCAAGTAATTGTGTTATGGTTTCTTTTAATGTTACAAAAACCTTCCTGTTCCTTCAAACTGGAAGATTTATTTAATCTAGTTACGATCACTCCATTTACTATTTATCTACAGAGCCTGTTTGCGAACAAAAATTATATCAGAGTTACTTTTTAATAATTTTTAGTGGTTTAAGTGTGTTGCAATTTATGGTTAAAATATTTAAAGTACAATACTGTACTGTACTATTCATTTATAATTATTATAATTTTAACATTAACAGCCTTATCAATTAATAACCAAATTCTGAAAAAACCCATTTGTTTGGAAGTTAAATATTCATAGGCTAAATAAATTTATTAAATTTTTACTACTGTAATGTGCTAGATGTTATAAATTCGTATAAACGGAAAGAAGGTGGGTTAAATGATGAATGAATGACAATATACCAAGAGGAAAATTAATATCACTTGTTTCATTTTAACACAAACTCTCCAAAGCTTAAAAGCAACAAAATGAAAGCACCGGTACAAGTTTAATTCACTTGCCTCATGAAAAATACAATATGTAAACATGAATACAATCTTACAAGTCTTAACTTATGAGTGATGACTTTTAACTCAGTCTTACAAGTTACCTATTGAAATAAACAATATATAAACATGGTTACAATCTAACATACATTAGGTTATGAGTAATGACTTTTTACTCAGTCTCAAATATCTTACTTATAAGGAACGACTTTTGCTCAGTCTTCAATGTCACCTAACAAAATAAACAAACCTCTTTTAACTGAGTAATAACTTTCAACTCAGTCTCAAATTACTGGATGTTTCAATCTACTATTTTCAACAATCCCAAAGAGCTTTTAAAAACAGATGTATACTGTCTTAACTATGACAATTAAATATCAATATTTTACTTATATTTTCAATTTTTAAATGTTAAACACCAACCTAAAAATGCCCATGTCTGGTATCATATTAGGAAGAAACTATTAAATGTTTTCATGTTCACAACTTTGAAAAAATTAAAATTATGTTTATGAAACCTAAAACTATTACTTCACGACTTTTGTGTCGAGTCACTTTGATTCAATAAAGAAGTTATAGTCCTCACCACCCTAACTTGAGGCAGCCCAAGGCCGCACTAGATATACGGCGTGCGGATCTAGTACGGCCTTGGGCTGCCTCAAGTTAGGGTGGCGAGGACTATAGATATATATGTTTATATAAACATGAGTAAAAAAACTATTTTCCATCCCTTAAACTTTTGTTTATTTTAGGATAAAGTTCAAGATTGAAACACCCTCATACAACTCTTATAAACTACAAGGACACTTTGTACAGTTTTGTCAAAGTAGGTAAAAAATGAATTTAATCAGTAAATCACTATGCTTGATGAGCTTAATCTTACATCTACACAAACACAACTGAAAAAAGATTAACAAACTTATCCATACAACATTGCACAAATGCTGTGTAAATGTTTACACAATTAAGTTCACCCTAGATCTGGCAAGAATCTCTCAGACGGATTTTACATGTATCATTAAAATGATTTTTGTACTTCAAACATTAGTTTAACTTAATAACCCATATACCAAAAGAAAGATGATATTAAGGGAACAGTTCAGCAGAGAACCTGCAATATATTATCAGATTAGATATTGATATGTATAGATTTTTATTCGGTTCACTATTAATATCGCATCAAATTTAATTTATGATATATATCAAAGTAATAACAAAAGTATTACTTTTAAGTAGTTAATTTTATCCTTAGTTTGGAAAAAAAATTCTCCATTTCCTAAATGCAATTACCAATTTAGCCCTAGATTTTAGTTCCTATGTACATTTACATTGCCCACAATACAAATGCATTATTCTTAATTTTTTTCCTCTATAGTTATTTCATTGAAATAAAGTCACAAATTTTGTCATTAAACTATTGAAAATTAATTGAAAACATATTGTTATAATCATATCCAGTGTTGTTTAATAAAACAGAAAATGTAAATTGTTTGTACTTTTCTTGTAAATCTAATTTTTTATTGCGGCTTTAATGTAAAAACTACAAGAACTGCTTTAAATCTCTGCCAGCTCACAGGTTTGTCCAGTCTGCCAGATCTAGGGTTAAGGTGGCAAATTTACACCAGGTTTTAAGCACCTTCAGGGCCATATTCTTGCAGCTTTTCTTCTCCTGCGTAGCACTTTGGACACACAGTCAAGTCCATGAGGAAGACCGTCTACAAAAAGATCAAAGGCAAAGATCAAACATCGTATCATGGATTTGGCTCATACTTAAAAAGGTGTTTTACAGGCAATTAAAACCAGGGATAAAAATATAGTTACTTCTCAAATCTTGATCCGAACAGCTGTTCGCTATTTCATTGATGATTATGTGAAAACATTGTGAGAAAACTTGACAAAAATCGCACAAAATTGGGGTTTTAAACGTTCGTAAGTTTTTTTACAAAGTAGTGAGGCCATATTTTAATAGCTAAAGACACTTTCGCCAATCCAGTGAATACATTAAAATGATTCGAGGATCTTGATAGGTACTCTCGTTTTTCAGGAGAAGGCCGCGTAAAATGGCTTTTGGACCGTGACAGACGGAAGACAGACAACAACGGAATTGAGATAATAATTGATGATTGAGATAATAACGGAATAATTGAGATGAAACTTGTTTCGGATTCTTGAATGTATAAAACGTGAAAATAATCTAAAAATTGATGATTTTGAGCAATGTACAGACAAAACTCTAATTTTATTTATATAGATTAGTACCTGTGGTGATTTTTATTAGAAATTTATTGAAATAAATAAACAGCAAAGTTAAAAACCATCCAACCAGTGTTTTATTTAAAAAGTACGTAGGCCTATTTGATTGGCTCTGTTTTCTGAACTAAAATATCTATTTCTTGATCTATTTTTAGTTCCTGGTTTCGAAACATAATTTGGCAAAACAATTATTTATTCATTAAACAACTTGATCTAAAAATAATTTCTAAACATTGGAGGACAATTTTAATCATAAAAAACCTTTTGAATTCTAATAAACCTAGCTGCCGTACCTGTGTTTTACATCGGAGATGATTTTGAAGAGAAAAAGTTTGATACACGTCACATATTTCAAATTCCACTCCAAACACGTCATGTTAATACGTTTACTTCCTTAAATTAAGAAAGTCACAATCTCCAATTAACAGGTCCGTAGCAAAAGTTAAAAGTTTCACAATTCGAATCGTTTCTACCTTTAGGACCGCAAAATCAAAGCACTGCATTGACAGCATTTACAGCTGACTTCGTTTAACATTCTGTTATCTACATTCTTCAAAAATGTAAACATTGTGAAACTTTGGAATCCCATGGGGCGTAACTCAAAGAAAACACGTTAAAAGTAATCGGTATATGTGTTAACCAGGTACAGGGCTACCTCTTGAATTTATATCTATATAAATAAAATTAGAGTTTTGTCTGTACATTGCTCAGAATTATATACGTTTAGGTTATTTTTACGTTTTATACATTAAAGAAGCAGAAACGAGTCTTATCTCAATTTCTGTCTGTCTGTCTGTCTGTCCCTTTGTCTGTAACACTCAAGATGGCATTTTACGCAATCTTCTCCGTGAAAACCAGAGTACATATCAAGATCCAAGTCATTTTAATGTATTCACTGGATTGGCGAGAGTGTCTTTAGTGATTTAAATATAGCCTCACTACTTTGTAAATAAAATTACGGACGTTCAAAAATGCAGTTTTGTGCGATTTTTGTCAAATTTCCGTTCAATTTTTATCACATAATCGTCTATGAAATAACGAACAGCTGTTCGGATCAAGATTATTTTTTCTAGCTGTCAATGACATGTTTACAAATGTTGTTTACAAATACCGCAACTATTTCGAATCACGTTTTGAAAGCAAATCCCAACCAAGTGAGATTAAAAACGTTTTTCTTACATAACGGTTTTAATTAATCGCAAGTGCAATAATATAGTCTAATAGTGTAACCAAAAATGAAATTAAATAACTAGACATCGTCCAAATCGGAACCAGAAATTCTTTGAGTATAAAATGTTTCTTGAGTTTTGACAACCAGAAAGAAGAAGACCTTGAATCAGTGTTGTATAGGGCTGTGACACTGAAATGATCATCGCCAATAGCTTACAAAAAAGGTTTCCACTCATTGACGGCGCTTCAATGGCGGTTGTGTAAAGTTTAAAGTAAAAAATCACAACTGCAGTGGGTGATTGTAACAGAGGTTTAACAGAGGAAGTGCTAAACTCGCTTTTCCAATGTGTCACTTTCTGTTTCTACTCACCGTGTGATGCAATCGCTGGACCATACAGCCAATAGGCCCATAGCTCATATCTTGGGTACGTAAGCCTACATATTTATTCATAACAACCTTTTTGACGACGATCCTTGATACCGGTACTTTTCCATAGAATACATGGCCTACCTACTTAAAAAATAAAATTACAAATGACCAAAACCCCAACATTGTGTGATTTTCGTCACATTTCCTTCTAATGTTAATAGATATACTAATCATTGTTTAGAGAATGCGTAATCTATTAAATAACAAAAAGTTGTTTGGGTAAGGTTGCTTTTTTTCAAACTGACACCGATAAGTTTACGCTATAACTTTTTACGAGAAAATCCAAAAGCAAGAGATCAATAACCTCGGGACTAGATATTAATGTATTTAATTGGTCCAATTTACTATAGTTCTTAGGTAGGTTCTTACGTAGGTACTGGTTCTTTTCCTTAGAACCGGTAGTTTACAAATTTGATATCGTTGGTGTTGCACCTTATTTATTAGAGCCGTCCGTATTCAATTTAAGTGATGTCTTAACTCTGTATAGTTTTGCTTTTTCTGTCTGGATTCCAAATCTTAGCTTACCCGGTATGCTAAGAAAATGATAACCTATTTGAGTAAAACATTTGTTGGGCAAACCATCATGAATTGTTTACGCCTTTATATTGTTTATGTATCAATAGTTCGTGGCCTTTGTTGGATTGTTGTATTGTGTTGTTTTGTTGTATGTTGGTAACGCATTAATGTCCTTATTTCTCAGTGTTTCACGGAATGGACAAGAGCACCTTTGATACTGAAAATGTCAACCGGAATAAAGAGTTAAATGGTGAGGTTGAGGTAGTACTTTAAATACGTTTAAGTTAACCGATGTGGAAAGTAACTTTCAATTATAGGCCTACTTTAGGGCTACGCTTCATGGATCTATAAAACATTTTTTAGTTTAATCATTGGACTTATGGACCAACACGATACGGGTGACATTTAATTGCGAAGCATTTATTTTGGCTTACTGTCAGATACTGTATTTGCGAAGGTTTATATATAATAGTTTTGCCAGCATATCTGCAAATGTGCAAACTAATTGCTGTTCTTAATCTTAATATAAGAAGATTTCAACTGACTACTATAAGATCCCCGTGCGTAGAACGGGCACACAGCTAGTAGATAATAAATCGAAAAATAAAGAAATATAAGTTGATTGATTATTGGCTCTTACAAAAGGGTAAACAATCAAGGAACATGATATGATTAAGTAACCACACATCACTGAGTCTATATCTTCATTCTTTCTTGTAAAAATCGCTTTGATTGTGGCTATATAAAATAGGGAAGTAAGATTTCACTGTACAACGAGCTCAAAAAGCTCGAGAACCAGCAATAAGATGGAAATAACCGGCCGAACCTTTAAGGCGGGTTACACACCGGTATCGCGGATATGATGTCGCCGATATTTTTCGCGTCCGCGACATGCCCCTCGAAAACCAACCTATGTTAACTTATGGAGCTTTACACACCAGTGTCGCAGACACGTTGCCTGCGACTCGTGTCGCAGACGCGTGTCTCGAGCGAACCAACCGGTCGGTGTTTGGACAGACATGTCTCGTGTCTCTTGGGCCCGCGCATGCGCAGAACACGTTTCTAGTAGTGTTTGCGCTTTATTACTTAATTTATTGCCTTATGGTGTGAAATGTAGTATTGTGATATTAAATACTTCAATTTACAACATAAGGAAATTACGTAAGTACTGTAATACAATTAATTACAATGTATTATGGAATGATTACCATGAAGTTATCTTTAATGTTTTTGTAGAAAGAACAGCAGCAACAACACATCATCTTCTTATGACGATGACATTATTTAAAGTGATGAATGTTGTGATTCCTTCACTCTCATGTCGCCAGCACGTGCCTCTTCCCATGGTTGCATTTTATTATATGTCGCAGACAACATGTCCGCGACATCAGAAATATCGGCGACATCATATCCGCGATACCGGTGTGTAACCCGCCTTAACCATCCACTGGCTCGCTAGTCGCTACCCCAGGTCGGTCGGTAGCCGGGTAGCCCATCAATGGAACCCGTTAGGCCCACCCCGACCTCTCGCCACAAGAGAGACAAGAATTTTGCCTTGTTCCACGCGCCTTTGATTGTTTGAGGCGGGAAAACTATTTGTGTGCTACGGCCCGCGCAACACAGGATATTGTTTTCGTATTAGTTGGCCTTTTTTCAAGATGACCGTGACTGTTAGCTTATTTTATGGATCCCTTGGAGAATAATTCAAAACTACAAAGAACATTTCTAATCCCACAGTATACTAGCTATTTAAATTATAAACACTTTGGTGTTTGAAAAATATTTTTGGACGATACATTTTGCAGCTATTTGAAATCATCCAAGATGGCCGCTTGCCTCCAAGGACTCAACAATAGGCCTAATTGTGCGACTATAAAGCAATAACTTCCCACCTTGCGCTTGCGAATTAGTTCGGTACATATTTGTATCCACAGTTGGCAGGACGACCATTAAGACGACCAAAGATTACATTGGCTTTTAGGTATTTAATCTGTAGAATAGTACTGTAATTGTTAAGTAATCTGGAAGACAATTAATTAAAATGAAGTGCGAAAGATTGGTTATGAGAGTGCTCAATGCCTGAAGCATAATCCGTTTGTTTGAGGTGCGGATTTTCAAGCTTGTAGAACAAATAAATATCACAAAGTAGAAGGGCAGGGGTGAAAGTGACTGAAGTGACGGGATACCCGGTGGATTTTCAGTGACTGGATTCCAGTGGTATGCGGTAAAATATATAGTGACTGGCTTAGCAGCACAAATTTTACGTGACTGGCTTTCCCATGCAAATGCGGAGGTGACTGCATTAGCATAGCATTTTTTACGTAATTATATTTTAGTAATTTTAAGAAAAAAAGATATATACGTTCAGATATGTCTAGGCTTAAGATATTTACCAATATATATTATATATATATCATAGTCTAGAAATATATTGGGGGGTGCAACTGGCTGACTTCCAGTGTATATTTCATGTGACTGGCTTCCCGGGCTCGGCCGTGTATATATATATATATATTTGTTTGGCAGTGATAAACTCAGACACCGCTGAACCGATTCGCCACGAAACTTGGTACATACGTGTAGAATTTCATGGAATAGGTTTATACACCATCAATTTCGTGATCCGTCCAATCGGCTCCGCCCCAGTGGCTCTGGAGTTTCCCATGTTAACCTTATGAGAAATGGAATTAATGAATCTTAACAGCTGTTTCAATTAAACAAGTTGGTTCTGTTCTATGATGTTCAATACAGGGTTGCCACCAAAGTGAGATAAAAAAATTCATGCATAATTCAAGGTTTTCATTGGTAGTTTTGAAAAATTCATGGGGTATATGCTCGCACAATTTCACCATAAAAGAGTGTTGCCTAGTTCAGAATTGTACATTAATTTATCGACAATATGTAGTTTTGTGTACTACTATCAAATAAAACACATTTCATGCGTTTATTTTAGAGTTAAAAATAAGAATTTAATATAATTTATCCAGTCTAAAAAAGTAAAATCACAGATGAAAAAGGATATTAATAAAAATCTTGTGCGTGATAATAGGCTACGATGTAATTATTTAAAAAAATTGAAACATCTGATTTAACAACATCATAGGCCTAATGATAAATTCAAACGTTAGAAGAAATAATAAATTAAAAAATAAGTCGGATTGGTAGTTAGGTCTAGGCCTAACCTAAAAAACATTGCATCCAAACATAAAAGGTTTAACTAGGCTAGTTAATCCAGCAATGGCCTAGAACTTTACTGTCTAAACATCAAATTAAGATAATAGGCTACTATAAAAACAAATGTTAAGAACATGATCAAGAAACGGTTAACTTAGTAATGGGCCATATCTAGGCCTACTAAAACGCACAAATGCACTTTATTACTTTATACTGTAACACAGTAGGCTAGCCTACATTGTAATCCAAAGCTGAATCTAGGCTAAGTTAAGCCTGAACCAACTTTTATTTATTGAGAAGATTAAAGGTTGCCGACTGACTGATAAAAACACTCTAAAAAGGTAAGATTATGTAAATAAATATTTAGTTAAAGCTAAGAACGAAACAAAAGTTATGGAATGTATGTAAGTTTAGACATAGGCTAACTTACATTAAGTAATAAAAAAATAATTAATTGCATTACAGAAAAGGTTAAAATAAACTTTGTTAGGAGGATGTTTCTTCAGATTGGATCAGTTTATATATTATTATTTGCCTACACAGGTTTAAATCACAGTTAAAACAATTATTTAATTAAATTTACATCTCATTAGTTAGATTCGTATTGACTGAAAACACCTAGTTATATGCTTCAAAAAAACATTTACCACATTTAGGCTACCTTCCTCAGAACGAAATCACCATTTTTCAGCACAACATTGACTTCTTGCAACTTAGGCCTAAATAAATAAACTTAATCTCACGTTGTAACACATTTACTCAACACTGACAGTAGTTTGAAATGACGACATATTTGACCAAAACAAACACAGAAGACGATTAAGTTCCAGCCGGCGCAAGCCATTTTGACCTTTATGGCAAGGCAAGGTACTTCTTATTTTAACGTTGTAAAGTATCGGAAGTATAATATATCAGTAATAAAATATATTTAATCTGAACACTTGTTCCACTGAGTGTTGGGTAATCAATTATAAGAAGCACAAAACTGAATCACGAGTGCAACAAGTGATCTTACTGTCCAGTCTGTCAACCACTACTTCAAACGTTTGGTTTGACTCGTTTCTAAGTTTCAGATCAGTTTAAAACTTTTAGGTTATGGTTACACTGTATTTCCTTCCACACGAACACTAGAGTAGAAAGTAGAGAATGAGAGCGAGCATCAATTCCAATTGTCGATGATTTCGAAACATCGATGTCTTTTCTATCGATGTTCGAAGTTATTTGTTTACATCGATTGTAGATTACCGAACCGATGATTTGGTTTGTTACATCGGTCTTTTAGACCAACAAAAGTAATGAAATATTGATGTTTTCCGTAACTGAATTGTATTGGTTTTAGGTTAATTGGCTGTGTTGGTTTATTTAGACCAGACGAGAAACTCGGAACAAACATCGATGTGATCGATGTTTTAGCTCCGAAAGCATCGATTTTATCGGTGGATCGGTACTCGGTAGAGATGGGCGTTATAACATAACAGGATGAATAACAGTGTTGCGGCCACGGCAACGTTATCGCGGCAACACGTTGCGGAGAACTCCCTGTTATTATAATAACGTATCTATCTAAATGTTGCAGGAAAGCCGCGCGACAACGAAAACGAAAACATGCATTGCCATTAGTGCCGTTGCCGCAACGCTACCAGAGCAACGATAACTTCTGAAACGAACTAGAATAACGCATCCTGTCTGGACAACGCGGCAACGCCCGACTCCCGACTACAACTGAAAACTGAACTGCAACTGATCAACCGACAATGATAACTGAACGTCGCAACACCGACCGACCGGCGGACAACGGTTTAAGCGGCAACGAGTTGGCAATCGTTTGAAATAACAGGTTGCCGCAACACGTTATTGGGCAGCTGCGTTATCGTTATAACCGTTGCCGGAAAACAACGATAATTCCCATCTCTAGACTACTCGGCTGACGTCGGTTACGATCGGATTTGACCTTGAATAAACTACGCAATCGTTTCTGTTCGTGGCATGGCAACAAAACTATCTCACACTCCCACTTTGACGTTTTATCTCGGTGTTCATTTCGAGAATGGTTTTAATACGGAGTATTTGATTCAGCACATTTAGGGGTTTTGGCTGAATTGTTAATAATGATTTTGAGAATTCATGGTCCAATGACGAAATTCACGCATAATTCACGCACTTTTTCATGGTCACCTAAATTCACGCATAATTCACGCTTTTCAAGGTTTTCATGGCTGGTGGCAACCCTGCAATAGCATTTAAGTTACGGATTACCAACAGGTTGCAGCACTATTATTTCTTTTACATTTATGACAACAGCTAATTTGCAACCAAAAGGTGAGTGAGCGTAGCGAACGAACTTCAACCCGGAGGCGAGTTAGCGTAGCGAACGAGCTAACCAGAAGGCAAGTGAGCGCAGCGAACGAGCTCCAACCTAAAGGTGAATGAGCGTAGCGAACAAACTTCAACCAGGACGTGATTGAGCCATGCGAACGAGATCATCTTGAAAATTAAGAAGTTAAACGGGGCAAAGCCAGCGGGTTACAGCTAGTAATCTATATATATAAAATGCAACTATGTTTGTTTGTTTGTCCTTTATGGACTCCGAAACCGCTCGACAGATTGTAATGAAACTTTCAGGCATTGTTAGGCATTATTCAAGGATGGTTTGTGTGAAGTTTGGTGCAGATCCGTCAAAAGGGCTCCGCCCCAGTGGCTCTGGAGTTTCACATGTTAACCTTATGAGTACTCATATTTAAATGGAATTAAAGAATTTTAACAGCTGGTTCAACTAAACAATTTGATTCTGTGATGTTCAATAGCATTAAAAAGTTAATAGGTTTACCAACAGGGTGCAGCACTATTTTTTTTTTATGACAACAGCTAATTTGCAACCAAAAGGTGAGTGAGCGTAGCAAACTTATGAAGTTAAACGGGGCAAAGCCCGCGGGTACAGCTAGTAGGCTACTACTTTAAGTTTAATAATAATAGCGTTAAACCCCACTGTGTAGTTGAAGGCTCTGTCCCAATTTAATTACAGTATCTTAATATAAATCAATATTGCATTGTTTTATTTCACCCGACCAGCCGACGGCCGACCTTGGGACTCATGGTATAGACAATGACTTCAAATATGCACGTGTTGACGTGTCGCCCCTCCCCCACCCACCACCAACCCTTACCCCAATCACTCCTTTCTCCCACGGCAGTCTCAGCTCAGCTTAGTTTGATGAGTGATTACAAGTTTCACTATTAATTAATAACATATATAGTAGGCCTACTTTTGATAGGTTTTGATATTTTTTACATTAATTGTATTGATTTAATTATCAAAAACTAAAAAAGATTTTCATAAAAAATTTAAGTGATTTAATCCCTGATTCCTGACTCTAGCAATTTTGTAAGGCAGTACCTATATCCTTTAGGGTGTTTGTTGTTGGGAATGGGAATTAAAACGCAGATAGCAAAGCAACTTTGTATAACGAACATCACTTATTATGTGTTTTTTTTTGGGGGGGGGGGGACGCCTGACAACATCCCGCCCCAGGCACCAATAAACCACGCGACGGCCCTGACATTATGTAAGTTATATCAATCGATGAATCTATATTAACAACTCAATCTTACCTTAGGATGGGCTGGGCAAGGAGTCTGTTTTCGTCCGATCAGAGTATGGCTACATTCACTGCACACCAATAACCCCTTTTTCCTTTGGCAGATGCAGTTTTCTTGCATTGGCTGTGGCTTTCTCTCTATTCTTGTCATGTTTATTTGTCTAGATCTTTCTTTCCAAATAGGTGGTTTTCTACAATAAAATGAAGGAAGATTATCAGCAGATTGTCAGCTGTTTCAATTACCTACACAAGTTGGTTCTATAACTTAATATTGAATAGCATTTAAAAGTAAGTTAGGTTTACCCACAGGGTGCAGCACTATTATTTTTTTCTATTTATGACAACATCTAATTTGAACCACACCACCGAGGCTTATGGCTCTACTCCGTATTGTTGCGGTAATGGCATTCTCTCAAGGGAAGAGATCTGACATATGACGTCATCGAAGGCTCTTCTATAACTCCCTTGAGTAATACCCAATAGGTGGGCCTAAGCCCTAATCAGGATATAACAGCTGTTAACTTAAGGGATCTATTTAATTAATTACCATACACTACCTTAATCGTTTCTCTATCAAGTTAACTTAGCTATTTTGCTTAGGCCTAGCTCAATAATTATTGTTACTTAAGGCTAATAAGTTAATTAAGAGGCTGATTACCGGCCAATAACTTACTCTTTTCAGTACTTATTCAGGACCCAGACCCCAGCTTTAACGTTCTAAAATCACTTTTAAACTATTCTAGGACATCAATACTAACCTTTAATAAAGAATTTTTTGGCGCAGAGGACTCGTTTTATTAATAATTAAATACCTATATAAACAACAATCCTAACTCACTAGGGAGCCGGTGGGAATTGGGGGTTTTGGGTGGGGGAGATAAAACATGGTGGGGGGAGATAAAACATGGTGGGGAGAAAAGGGTAATTTGACGGGTAAAAGGGTAATTTATAGGTAAACCAGCAAGAATGGGAAATTAGTCAATACTTAGCCGCCGACGACGACGACAAGCAGAGCCAGCAGAGACAGGAAGACCATCAGAATTGTATTGTACCATATTATGATATAAATAAAAACAATAACAAAGTAAAAATAAAGTTGTTTGTTTATTTTATCCTATATATTTATTCAAAAAATGGGTTTAAAAATATTTAAACAGGTCAATAAAAAGTGGTGTAACATCTATCACCTGTGCGAATAGCCTATCCTTAAGTTGCCTCTAAAAACGTGAAGTTAAGTTTTCAGTCATCTTTTGTTTGAATATAGTTTTATTTATTCAAGTTCTTTAAAAACGTACACCGATCGTAAGTGAATTTTTACATTCAAAACATCAATCAAACATATCATAACCTATTTCCATGTTTGTTTACATTGAAAATAAAAAATATTTAGAAACGATATATTGAACCGAATCTATATCGATATTTCTGCAGACATATGTTACAAATACATAGAGAAAACAAACTCCTCAAGGAGTATGGAATTAATAATTAAATAAACATATTTATGGAATTAACCCTCCGAGTGTCATGCGTCGCTGCAGCGACGCGTAACGCACTTTGTATAGTGTCGTGCGTCGCTGCAGCGACTCGCGAACACTGTTTACGGCGAAGGCTCTATGACTAACTGAATCGGACTGTACTGGATTGAGTTAGGTATCGTTCTGTCCGTAATATTCTAAGCTTTCTCCAGAGGTCTGTCTCTAAGCACTATTGTAGTAGACAGCTGACTGAGCTGACGTGCGTGTATTTGTAAACAGCTAGGTTACCCTCGGACCGATGACTGATGTGTTTTATTACGTTTATCATTGTTTTAGTGTTAAAAATCAAAAGTAGTGATATACGTGGTGCATTATAAGAAGATTTAAGTGGTTTTGAAGTGCTGGTTGATGATCCTGAAGAAGTAGGTAGTGATATTGATGTAAATTATCAGCCAGATTCCTAGCTATGGTTGGGCTATGCATTCTTAGCTAAACGCTATGTACTGAAATCTGTTTTTTGCCCATAACTTTTTTATTTGCAAATCTACTTCCTTATATTATTATAGATTTGTAATCCTCATAAAATTTAGAACAAAGTGGCTATTTTCAAATATTTATAGGCCTATAATTTATACAATTTCATTGAGCGCAAACTTATTTTTTGTTGAAAATTTTCGAAATTATACATTTTTTAACCTAAAAATTTTTTTTTTTTTTTAAATCTTCCTTATGTTTTATATATAATATTGAAGCCCAAGATTTTCCAAACAAAATGGTATATAGAACAGTATAATTAACATTGTTTTTAAGCTTCTCAGATCAGTTTTAATAAAACCTTGCAAATGAGCAAAAAATAGGCTGACATTAAGGCCAAAACACGTGACACTCGGAGGGTTAACCAACACACAACAGTGAACAGTGGCAAACAGCGGGTAAGAAAAAACATTTAAAGCGTGATGGACTAAAGCCCAGTATTAATTCTAAGCATATTGGTTCCACTAAACAACAGTCTCTTCCAATCATCGGGACCAATAAAAATCTAGACTCTACAAAGGTTCGTGCGGTAGGTAAACTTTCATGGATTTTTGTTTCCAGACTCGCCGTAGATTGCGTGAAGGAAGATATTTCTGACTTTCTTAACAAATCTGGTATCCAGAGTGATGTGGTTCCTCTCAAACCTAAACACAATTCCTACACTTCTTTTAAAATAGGTATTCCTGACAACCTAACCTCAAAAGTGTTGAATGAATCCTTTTGGCCAGAGGGTGCACTCGTTAAAGAATTTGTTACTAAATCTAGATTTCAACGTAACTTTATAAACTCTCAAACTTTTTTAGGGAGTCGGCAGCCAAAGTTAGCACAGCCCTAAACAACATGGAATTCCTAAACTTTTGCTTACCATTTTTAAATGTCCAGTGTCTATGCTACACCCGTGTTATGGAACTTGAAATGATGCTCACTGATAACAAATACAAAATATTATGCTTGTCGGGTCACTGGTTGAATGATGAACATATTAAGCTTGTGAACATTAAGGGTTATTTTTATGTTTCAGCTTTTTGTCGTTCTCAACGCAGGCAAGGCGGAGTTACTGTTTTTGCTTCCCTAGAACTTAGTGACTCATTTATTGTAATCAATGTAAATAGTTTTTGTTTAGAGTTACATCATGAGTTTGTCTGTGTTCATTTCCCGGCTATGAACATTATCCTTATTGGTGTCTATAGGTCCCCTGATGGTGATCTAAATATGTTTTTGTCTAGCTTAGAGAACCTTATTTTGTCCCTAGGCAACAAGAGGGCAAAAAACCATATTATCCTGGGTGGTGACATGAATATTAATGTGTTGAAACAAAACCGTTTGTCTGAAGATTTTATAAACTTGTTAAAATCACTGAATCTTTACTGTACTGTCTGGGTGCCGACTCGTGAGAACTCTTGTCTGGACAATGTTGCCACAGATCTTCCTCGTGAAGATTTTAAAGTAGAGGTGGTGAAACATGCCATAGGTGACCATGATGGCATTCAGTTTAGTCTCGGTATCCGTCTGTCCAAGAATAAAGATCCTTATATTGCTATGACTTATCGACCAATTACTCTTGATAAAACATATCACTTTATAGTTGCTCTCAACTCAGTTGATTGGAATATTTTACTTGCGGGTAATGCTAATGTTATTTTTAGTAATTTTTTAAGAACATTTATTTTGCTCTTTCAAGAATCTTATCCTAAAAAAGTGTCTAGACCGAAGAATACAAAGCATCCACTGGCTCCAGAGTGGAAATCAGAGACTATTGTAATATTGAGAAGATGGTTGCTTCTTTCTTACGATATTTATAGACAAGAAAAAACCCTTGAAGCCAAGAGGAGGTATCAAGCGATAAAGAAAGATTACCAGGTGAGTTTAGTACGGTCAAAACAAGTGAACACAATGCCAATTTCATTGAGTCCTCTCAAAATTCTTGTGCTGCCGCTTGGTCTGTCATCAAAAAAGAGGGGGCCCCTGCAAAAGCAAAACCAACTACTAGACTTTCTGCTGAGGAGCTGAATGATTTCTTCATTAATTCTGTCCAACAGACTCGGGATGCAATTGGTACTCCACCAACCCCCGCTGTAAACCTCCTAGACCAGCATCCTAGACCAACATGTTCTTTTAACATTGAACCTGTCTCTTGTGAGAAAGTGCTATCTGTTGTACATAAGATGAATAGCTCAAAAAGTAAGGATGTTTTTGATCTCTCTGCAATCTTAATTAAGAATGTGATTTATCATATTTTAGTTCCACTCACCTATTGTATCAATGTTTGTATCAAGGAGGGTGTTTTTCCAGATGTCCTAAAAACAGCCAGAGTAGTCCCTGTCCATAAAAAGGGGAACCATAATGTGCCTGAAAATTTTAGACCTGTATCTATTCTCCCTGTGTTTGGTAAGATTTTTGAAGGTATAATTAAGGATCAAATGTTACCTTATTTTGAAAGTAATGGACTGCTTGTGTCAGCCCAGTATGGTTTTAGATCAGGCCGTTCCACAATTGATGCAGTTGAAGTTCTGACTGGGGTTGTTTTAAAATCAATTTGAGAGGGGAGGCTTTGCTGGGGCCACAATGTGTGACCTCAGCAAGCCTTTTGACACCGTGGACCACAAAATTTTGCTTGACAAACTCCATTTTTATGGAGTTAGGGGTAAGGGTTTGGACTTACTGGGATCATGCTTGGGCGGGCGCAGACAGTTTGTCTCTGTAAATGGTCAGTCCTCTGTTGTCAAATCTTTAACTCATGGCATCCCACAGGGGTCTGTCCTTGGGCCCTTGCTTTTCAACACAATGATAAATGACCTTTCTTTGCATTTGGGAGAGGGGGTTGTTTGCTATGCAGATGACACTACTCTGATTGGGGTAAATGATAACTTAAATGTCCTGCAGGGCACTATGTCTCAGACTCTCCAAATGGCCTCGGCGTGGTTCCGAGCTAACTTTCTCTTCCTGAATGAGAGTAAGACTCAGTCCATAATATTTAGTCTTAGACAGCTTAAGCAAGATGTCACAATCGTTAAACTACTTGGATTAATGTTGGATCCTAAGCTGGATTGGAATAGTCACATATCTTTTGTATGTAGTAGACTTTCCAGGGTGATTCACTTGCTCAGGAACTTGAAGAACTCTGTACCCACTGAATGGCTAAGAACTGCCTACCTTGCCTTTTTTCAGAGCATAATTCTTTATGGTTTAAGACTTTGGGGTGGCACTCCGGGAGTCAAGAGGGTTTTGACGCTCCAAAAGGCGGCAGTCAGAATCTTGGCAGGTGCTGATTTTCTAGACCACTGCAAACCTATCTTTATTTCTGAATCCGTTATGACAGTGTACAGCTTATATTCAGGAGTCTCTTCTGTGTACTAAGCAGGAGTCAGGCTCTCTCGAACTCCGAAGTGATATCCACCCTCACAATACTAGGAGGAAGGACGACTTGAATGTACCTTATGTTAGATTGAGAGGTCCAATCTAGCTATTGTATACAGAGATATAAGTTTTTTAACAAACTCCCTTGTACAGCTCGGAACCTGCCGGAAGCAAAATTCAAAATGGGGATGGAATCTCTTCTGTTGGTAAATCCGATTTACTCATTCAAAGAGTATTTTGAAATTTAACCTGGCCAAGTAAGTAAGTTTTTTTAGCCAATGAGTGCCAATGTGTGATGATAAATAAGTTTTTTTTTTTCAATTCTCTGCATGGTGTGTTGCAGGCTTAGGCTAAGATTTTGATGCATTGATGTTTCCTTGTACATATTATGCTTTCAGGAAATAAATCATTCTCATTCTCTCATTCTCACAAGTTGTTACTCGTTTATAGTGTTTACAGTAGTTCATGTTGGTGACACTGGGTGCGCTGGTGTCTACAAAATCAGATTTATTAATAGGGTTATTTATTTGTTATTTAGTTTCATGGTTTGTACTTTACTGTTTGGTTGTATATCTTTGTAACGAGTTCTCTTATAAAACCGATTTATGAAATCATACAGCAAGTTTAATTGGTTTGGTTAGTTTAGAACAGTTTCATTTCATAATGAACAATTATTTTTTCCTCATGAAATCATACAGCAAGTTTGGTGGGTTTGGTTAGTTTAGAACAGTTTCATTTCATAATGAACCATTATTTTCCCTCTGGAAATCATACAGCAAGTTTGGTTGGTTTGGTTAGTTTAGAACAGTTTCATTTCATAAGGAACAATTTTTTCCCTCATGAAATCATACCAAGTTTGGTTGGTTTAGTTAGTTTAGAACAGTTTCATTTCATAATGAACGATTATTTTTTCCTCTGGAAATCATACAGCAAGTTTGGTTGGTTTGGTTAGTTTAGAACAGTTTTAGCGAATTTCCCTATAGGGAAGTAGCTATTACCGTAGGTCTCATGGTAAGACCTAAGCCCGGGACCGATTTACTTTTTCATTTTGATGTCCCCAGAGGCCAAAAACACCATTCGTTCAAATTTTTATATATCTATATATAGAGATATATATACATATATATATTATATATATATATATATATATATATGTCCATCCGCACGATAACTTGAGTAATTTTTGTCCGATTTTGATAAAATTTGGTTTGAAGGTGTAAGGCGGGATAAACTTGAATGAGTTCGCGAACCAGCATGATCGGACTATGGAAACGGGGGTTTTATGGGGTAAAAATAGGTTTTTCTCATTTTTGACCCTAAACACAAAATTTCACAATTTCTTTTTAAACCATTTTGTAGAGCTTAAAAAAACAAATAATTTAGTATATTGAAGCGTTATTATGCGCCTAATTGTTACGGAGAAAATTAAAAAAAATTGTAATTTTAAAATTCCCATGTTATTCTTATGGAGAATAAGTCAACTGTTGTAGTTTGCTTGTTTATGAACATATTTTGATCAAATTTGGAAAATACATTAATTTCTTACCAAACCACAGTACCTTTTAATATTTTACATTAAAAAAACTTGTTTACCCTCCCTGTTGCAGCAAACCTAAGTACTCATTAAACTAATTCTGTTTAAATAGGGAATAAATGTGATATTTTTAAGGAGACATTTTAGTTTAAATCCAATCAGAAGATGGAAATTCGCTAAGTCTGCAGGTTTGCTGCGGCGGGGGTATTTTTTCATAATCAACAATTATTTGTTTTCTGAACAAGTGGGTGTTCATAACATCTACATGTTGAAATCTTAACTGCAAAGTACTTTGCTATTAAAAACGGGATTTTACTATAAATACAGAGGGAATTAAGGTTAAATTGAGGGAATTCTAGAGGTAATTGTGGTACGGTGACCTGTCACTGCAGATAAAACGGATCTCAACAGATGATGTAAGTTAATTGTGCAGATTTCTGATTGACTGATGATTTCTTTCGTGTAGTAATCTGATTGGCTAGTGGTTTCGTTGTTAGTTGTTTGTTTAGAACTGTCTCCATGACTCCATGTTGTTAGTTCAAAGTGAAGTAGTGACAGAGGAGGACGTAGCTCAAATTTGTGATTAATTTTCATACTGATTGGGGTCGGAAAATCGCGTTTGGACATTATGTAGAAAACGGGGTGATTCCTGGTGAAATATGTGGATAGGCCTACCTATAAATATGTTTTTGTTGGACGAAGTGATTTTAATTTTCGTTGTAGGCTAGTTGCTGTTGCTGGTTGGCTATTGGCCAACCAAAGACATGTTGCTCTCCGTGCGTGCCGGTTTTGGTTATCTTTGAGTGAGCAGTAACGAGTGCATATTCCTTGTGAATTTTTCACATCGATGTAGTGAATCCAACATTCTTAAAGTGTGGAATTGTGTAAAATTGTTACTTATTGAGGTTTTGGAGGAACTGTTGTAAGGGTCGGTTTTATTAAATTCCAGTCAATATTTGGGACTGGAATTGCTTTCCCCCCAATTATTATCCTCCAAAACTTCATTTTATACACAATTTCACTTCAGGAAGTGTTTTAAGCTGGAGCCTGGGGTCGTAAATTTTTACCCTCTTTTCATCCACCACTTAGCCTAGCCTAAGTTAAGTTAAGATAGTACATGCACGTAGATAGTACCTAGGCTACACTAGTCTTAGACCTAGGCCTACCGTAAGTCAAATAGCCTAATAGGCCTAACTTATCAAGAATCAAGAATTTTCATTTCCATCAAATGCGGTTACATTGCTGGAAAACGTCAGTCAACTATAGCTAAAATGAAAACTAAAATAAGACAATGGACTTAGCCTATTCTTGGTCTTCAGTTGTAGGGTAGGCCTAGGCTAAATAGGTATCACCAGAAACTAGATAATGAGAATAGGCTAGTCAGCAAGATTTAAGCAACGGGTAAACGCCTAACAAGTTTCAGATGTTAGAAACATACAAAAAAATATCAATTACTTACTAACTTTACCTCACGTAGTGAAGTTGTTCTTCCTTTGTAGGGTAATGTCGCCTTCGTGACCTAACTGTGAACCAGAGTTAATTAATCAATTGATTCAGTGTTGGCCTAGGCTATTTAACTGTACAGTTTTAATAAATGGCTTCTTTGATACAAATTATATTGAGTTAGTTCTAGTTGGTCGACTCGTGGCGTGGGTCGTAGTTTTATAGTTTAAGCCGTTTCGTTCTAGCAGATTAATTGTTCTTCCTTCCTTCACTATCACTGCTTCTTCTTGTATCTTCTTGTAATGTAGTTGAAGGCCTGGCCTAGCACTTTAACAGCGATCTTCTTTCTTCTTTCCTATCTTTCCTTTCGTTCAATCAATCCAACCAAAATCCAAATTACAAACAAATTCAATTTGAATTGAATTGAAACTTAACTGGGACGGCGCTATTGGCATGTCTGTGAAACTGCCAATAAACCAACATTAAGCTATGACGTCACGTCAGATCAGTAGATCAAGAAGGCCGTGGCATCAAAACTTCCTAACCTCAAATGCATGTATCAAAACTTTCTAACCTCAAACACATGTGTCACATGTCAAAACTTCCTAACCTCAAATACATTTTATGTTTAAATTACACCTTTTGAGCAGTTATTAAGTGTTTGATTTACTAGTATACCATTTTTATGTTAATGCGGTGCCGAAATAAAGTGCAATGACCACTAATAACACTTGTTTTTATTCCATTGATATGTAGGCCTACTTCCACTAACCTCAAAGTGCATTTCACACTACAAACATACATCTGACTAGATTTATGTAGATTACTTTTATGGATTATGTTACATTATAAGTCAATACATGTGATAATAAAATAGCATGCCCATACGATGCTTATGATGGTTTCTATATGTGGTAACAGTTAGACCTGCTCCTTACCCAACTACCGATTTAACAGATTAAAAAAAAACAATTATATTTTAAAATTCGCTCGATAAATTTTCATTATTTTAATGGAGAATGTTATTTACACGTCTACACATGTTATAATAAAATGGCAAGCCCATTCGATGCTTATGATGGTTTCTATAGGTGGTAGAAGATAGGCCTGCTCCTTACTGAGCTACCTATTTTTCAGATAAAAAAAAAATATATTTCAAATTTGGCTCGATAAATTTTGATTATTTTTAAGGAGTATGTTATTTACACGTATACACGTGTCATAATTAAATGGTAAGCCCATTCAATGCTTATGATGGTTTCTGTATGAGGTAGAAGTTGAACCTGCCATTTATTAGACTACTGATGTTACAGATTTAAAAAAAATTATATTTCAAATTTGGCTCGATAAATTTTGATTATTTTTATGGAGTATGTTATTTACACGTATACACGTGTCATAATTAAATGGCAAGCCCATTCAATGCTTATGATGGTTTCTTTATGAGGTAGAAGTTGAACCTGCCATTTATTAGACCACTGATGTTACAGATAAAAAAAATATATTTCAAATTTGGCTCGATAAATTTTGATTATTTTTATGGAGTATGTTATTTACACGTATACACGTGTCATAATTAAATGGCAAGCCCATTCAATGCTTATGATGGTTTCTATATGTGGTAGAAGTTAGGCCTGCACCTTACTGTGCTACCGACTTTTTCAGATAAAAAAAATATATTTAAAATTTGGCTCGATATATTTTGATTATTTTTATGGAGTATGTTATTTAGACGTCTACACATGTTATAATAAAATGGCAAGCCCATTCAATGCTTATGATGGTTGCTATGTGTGGTAGAAGTTAGGCCTGCTCCTTATTGAGCTACAGATTTTTACAGATTCTAAAAAAATTATATTTCAAATTTAGCTCGATAAATTTTCATTATTTTTATGGAGTATGTTCTTCACACGTTTACACATGTTATAAAAAAATGGCAAGCCAATTCGATGCTTATGATGGTTGCTATATGTGGTAGAAGTTAGGCCTGCTCCTTACTGAGCTACCTATTTTTCAGATAAAAAGAAATATATTTCAAATTTTGCTCGATAAATTTTGATTATTTTTAAGGAGTATGTTATTTACACGTATACACGTGTCATAATTAAATGGCAAGCCCATTCAATGCTTATGATGGTTTCTGTATGAGGTAGAAGTTGAACCTGCCATTTATTAGACTACTGATGTTACAGATTTAAAAAAAATTATATTTCAAATTTGGCTCGATAAATTTTGATTATTTTTATGGAGTATGTTATTTACACATATACACGTGTCATAATTAAATGGCAAGCCCATTCAATGCTTATGATGGTTTCTGTATGAGGTAGAAGTTGAACCTGCCATTTATTAGACCACTGATGTTACAGATAAAAAAAAATATATTTCAAATTTGGCTCGATAAATTTTGATTATTTTTATGGAGTATGTTATTTACACGTATACACGTGTCATAATTAAATGGCAAGCCCATTCAATGCTTATGATGGTTTCTATATGTGGTAGAAGTTAGGCCTGCACCTTATTGAGCTACCGATTTTTACAGATTCTAAAAAAATTATATTTCAAATTTAGCTCGATAAATTTTGATTATTTTTATGGAGTATGTTATTTAGACGTCTACACATGTTATAATAAAATGGCAAGCCCATTCAATGCTTATGATGGTTGCTGTGTGGTAGAAGTTAGGCCTGCTCCTTATTGAGCTACCGATTTTTTACAGATTCTAAAAAAATTATATTTCAAATTTAGCTCGATAAATTTTCATTATTTTTATGGAGTATGTTCTTCACACGTTTACACATGTTATAAAAAAATGGCAAGCCCATTCGATGCTTATGATGGTTGCTATATGTGGTAGAAGTTAGGCCTGCTGCTTATTGAGCTACCGATTTTTACAGATTCTAAAAAAAATTATATTTCAAATTTGGCTCGATAAATTTTCATTATATTTATGGAGTGTGTTCTTTACAGGTCTACACATGGTATAATAAAATGGCAAGCCCATTCGATACTTATGATGGTTTCTATATGTGGTTTGTAGTTGATCCTGTCCTTTACTAGGAAGATACACTCGTTTGCATCGCTCAATCACGTCGTGGTTGAAGTTTGTTAGCGACGCATACTCACCTTTAGATTGGAGTTTGTTCACTGCACTCACTTGCCTTCAGGTTTAGCTTGTTTGCTACGCTCACTCTCACTCACCTTATGGTTGCAAATATAAATAATAAATAGTAATTCATTTATTAACAACATTTAATAACAAAATTAATTTCTAAAGGGAATTTTCCATATACCGTACCTTATGTTTTAACCATAATTTTTACTTGTAATAATTTTACCACTGGGTAAATTTACCTTAATTAAACTTATTTTTAAAAATTTCACTTTATCTTAATTTTAATGAGGTTTTCATTATTTAGCTAAAACTTTACATTATATGTTACAGTGACAATTTTTAGTGTTTTTTAGATTGCGGCCTCCTCCTCCCCTAATAGCTGCTCCTTACCTCGCCATAATTTTACCACTGGGTCATTTTATCTTAAGTTCACAAATTGCCAACAATGGTTTATCTTTTTGTTTAGGCTTTACATTAAATGTTACATTGACTATTTAACTTTTTTTTAATGCAGCCTCCTCCTCCCCTTATAGCTGTTCCTTACCTCGCCATAATTTTACCACTGTGCCATTTTATCTTAAGTAAGTTCACAAATTGCCAACAATGGTTTATCTTTTTGTTTAGGCTTTACATTATATGTTACATTGACTATTTAATTTTTTTTAATGCAGCCTCCTCCTCCCCTTATAGCTGCTCCTTACCTCGCCATAATTTTACCACTGGGTCATTTTATCTTAAGTAAGTTCACAAATTGCCAACAATGGTTTATCTTTTTGTTTAGGCTTTACATTAAATGTTACATTGACTATTTAACTTTTTTTTAATGCAGCCTCCTCCTCCCCTTATAGCTGCTCCTTACCTCGCCATAATTTTACCACTGTGCCATTTTATCTTAAGTAAGCTCACAAATTGCCAACAATGGTTTATCTTTTTGTTTAGGCTTTACATTAAATGTTACATTGACTATTTAATTTTTTTTAATGCAGCCTCCTCCTCCCCTTATAGCTGCTCCTTACCTCGCCATAATTTTACCACTGTGCCATTTTATTTTAAGTAAGCTCACAAATTGCCAACAATAATGGTTTATCTTTTTGTTTAGGCTTTAAATTATATGTTACATTGACTATTTAATTTTTTTTAATGCAGCCTCCTCCTCCCCTTATAGCTGCTCCTTACCTCGCCATAATTTTACCACTGGGCCATTTTATCTTAAGTAAGCTCACAAATTGCCAACAATGGTTTATCTTTATGTTTAGGCTTTACATTATATGTTACATTGAATATTTAAATTTTTGTATTGCAGCCTCCTCCACCCCTTTATAGCTGCTCCTTACCTCGCCATAGTTTAAACCCTTACCACTGTTTCATTTTGACTGTAGGCCAATATTAGATGTAAAAACCTTGAGCATGATTTTAGTAAATATTAGTAAGATTTTTAACAGTGTTCTCATGTGGTTTTTAATGTAATAATGATAATCACTGTTTTATTTAAATATAAATTTTACAGCCTCTAATTTTCAAAGACTTAGAGACAGTGAATGAAGGCAACCTATTACTCTTATTTTTGTTGTTGTAAATATTTAGTTTGGTAGTACCTGCATAAAATACAAAAGAAATCTATGTGTTCTAACACTTGAGTAGAACATGGCACATCAGGTGGTAAGCAATTTCCACCACCTTTCTTACTAGTGTGAAACCACCTTTTACAAGCAGTACATTCAACGCAAAAGTCATTTTGGTTTCTTGGTGAGTCGGGAAATTGTACATTGCAAATGTAACATGTATTAACCATATAGCCTGAATAGCTAAGGAGCTTTTTGAATAACAAAATTCTATGTTGGTCTGCATCAAACATCAAGTCTATTGAACCATTTGTTTTTAATTGTTCTATGAAATACAAAATGAATACACCACAATTGTAACTGTCAGTTTGAACAGGATGTCTTAAATGGCCATGTTGCCATGTTTTGACTAAGTCATCAAACTTAGTGTTGGTTATGTTTAAGTAAAATTTGAGAAAGTTATTAAATATATACTTCTTTCTGTTAGGATTGACAAAATCTGATGAAGGATCAATAAGGTAAAATGTATGGTCCTTCACGTTTGCATAGCCTAAAACCCAGTGTACGTTATCAATGTTCAATGGGAAAAATAGCTGTTCTGCAACAGAAATATCTGCAATTGATTTTGTAATCAACCAGTGGTCAGGTTTGATATATTCTCCTTGGACAAGACTTAACGTTGCAACATTGTCATGAATTATTGAACTGTTATGGTTGTCTTTTCCCATGAGCATAAGCCCTACAGCCTCTATGACAGAGTT